TGTCTTGGCAGACTGACCTAAGAAAAGATTGCTATGATTTATGTCTAAGAATGTTTGCCTGTATTCTCTCCTAGGATTTTTATAGTGTCATGTCTTATATTTAGGTCTTCAAACCACTTTGAGTTTATTTTTGCATATGGTGTGAGGGAGTGTTCTAGTGTCATTGATTTACATGAGGTGTCTGACTTTCCCAGCACCCTGTCTTGAAGAAACTCTTTTCTTCATTGTGCAGTCCTGCCTCCTTGTCAAAGATTAATTGATTGTAGGTGTGTGGGTTTATTTCTAGGCGCTGATCTTTTGTTCTCTTGATCCATATGTCTGTTTTTGTGCCATTACCATATTGTTTTGATTACCATAGCTTTATAGTATTGTCCAAAGTCTGGGAGGCTTATGTCTCCCAAGATTGTTCTTTTTTCAGGATTTCTTTGGAAATTCTGGGTCTTTGTGATTCCATATAAATTTTAGGATTATTTGTTAAAGTTCTGTGAGAAATGTGATGTGTATTTTAGTAGAGATCACATTAAATCTATAGATTGCCTTGAAAGTATGGCTGTTTTAACAATATTAATTCTTCCATTCCAAAAGCATGGACTATCTTTCAGTTTCTTTGAATCATCTTCAGTTTCCTGTATCAATGTTTATACTTCTCAGTGGATAAGTCTTTCACCTCCTTGGTCAGGTTTATTCATAGGTATTTTTCTTAGTGCAATTTTTAAAGGAAGGGATTTTTTTTTTTAACTTTCTGATATTTCATTGATAGTTTAAAGAAATGCAACATATTTCTGTATGGTAATCTTGTATCCTGGTCCCTTGTTGAATTCATTTATCAGTCTTAATAGTTTTTGTGTGGAGTTTTTAGGATTTCCTATACCGACTATCATGTTATCTGCATATAATGACAATTTTACTTCTTTCCTTCCAACTTTTATCCCTTTATTATTTTTCTTGTATGATTGCTGTGGCTGGGATTTCCAGTACTCTATTGAGTAGAAAGTCACTGGAAGTCAAAGTCTCTCAGTCGTGTCCAACTCTTTGTGACCCCATGGATATACAGTCCATGGAATTCTGAGCTAAAAAGGAAGCCCGAAGTCACTTAGTCGTGTCCAACTCTTTTTGACCCCATGGACTGTATGTAGTCCACCAGATTCCTCTGTCCATGGGACCTTCTGGGCCAGAATACTGGAGCGGGTAGCCTATCCCTTCTCCAGTGGATCTTCCCGACCCAGAAATCAAACCAGGGTCTCCTGCATTGCACACAGATTCTTTACCAGCTGAGCTGCCAGGAAAGCCCTTATTGAGTAGAAGTTAGGTTTATTCCTAATATTTATTTTTCAGCTTTTTTCTTATTGTGAAGGTGGAACTGACATATTTCCACACTCTTTACATGTTGGAGCAGACACCAGAAGTCTTTAGTATTTTTTGTAATGCAAGTTGGAAGGCTTTAATTTATCTAAAGTTGTCTACCTTTCATTTTTCTGAAACAGTTTTTATTTCATTCTCATTTTTTAAGGGTATTTTTCCTAGATATAAAATTCTTCTTTGAAAGTCTTATTTTCTTTAAAGATGTCACTTCTTTGTTTTTTGTCCTTCATTGTTTCTAGTGAAGGCAGTAATCAGTTCAGTTGGTCAGTCATGTCCTACTCTTTGCAACCCTGTGGATTGCAGCAGGCCAGGCCTCCCTGTCCATCATCAACTCCCGGAGTTTACTCAAACTCATGTCCATTGAGTCGGTGATGCCATCCAACCATCTCATCCTCTGTCGTCCCCTTCTCCTCCCGCCTTCAGTTTTTCCCAGCATCAGGGTCTTTTCAAATGGGTCAGTTCTTCACATCAGGTGGCCAAAGTATTGGAGTTTCAGCATAATTTTTTAATTTTTCCTTGTATTTAATGTGCCCTTTTTCTCGTCTGTTTTCAGGATAGCCTCTGTCTTTGGTTTTTCGCCAGTTTTACTGTGATGTGCCTCAATGTGGTTTTCTTTGTATTTATCCTATTTGGCATTTATTGAGCTCCGTATTTGGTGTTTGTTGCGCTCTTTCAATGTGTGTGTCAATATTTTTCATCAAATTTGGGGAATTTCATAACCATTTTAAAAAATGTTCTGATCTTTCTTCTCCTTCTGGGAGATATATATCTATGTATATGTGTGTGTATATGTATATCCATATCTATGTTAGGCTGTTTTGTATCATCCTATAGAGCAGGAAATAGCAACCCACTCCAGTATTCTTGCTTGGAGATCCCATGGACAGAAGAGCCTGGTGGACTACATACAGTCCGTAAGTCACAAAGAGTTGGACATGACCAGGAGACTAACACACACACACACACGTCTTTGATACTCTTTTTATTTTCCTCGTTTTTCTCTGGGTTCTTCAGATTTGATTATATTTGTTGACCTTTATGTTCTCTGATTCTTTCTTTTGCCATCTTCAATGTACTATTGAACCTGTCCATTAAGGTTTCTATTTCAGTTGGATTATACTTCAAAGTCCTAGAATTTGGAGGGAGGGTTTCCCAATTTCTATTTCTCCATTAAGATTGTAAAAAAATCTGTTTATTCATTTAGCTGATATTTACTTTTCCATTCTTTGAATGTATTTTTCTTTAGGTGTTTGAATATATTTTAGAACAGATATTTCAGTATTTTAAAGTTTTTTTGTATTTAATCCAATGTTTTGGCCATCTTATGGTTAATTTCAGTTTTTTCAGTTCAGTTGCTCAGTTGTGTCCTACTCTTTTCGACTCTGTGGACTGCAGCACGCCAGGCTTCCCTGTCCATCACCAACTCCTGGAGCTTGCTCAAACTCAGGTCCATCGAGTCAGTGATGCCATCCAACCATCTCATCCTCTTTGGTCCCCTTCTTCTCCCACTTTCAATCTTTCCCAGCATCAGGGTCTTTTCTAGTGAATCAGTTCTTCACATCAGGTGGCCAGAGTATTGTAGTTTCAGCTTCAGCATCAGTCCTTCCAGTTTTACAGGGGCTTACAGTGTCCTGTCACTGTCTGGTAATTTTTTATTATGTACTGTCATTGATATGCTCAAGAGACTTTAGATTGTTAGCTTTTGCTGAAGAAGGCTTATTTATATTTAAGCTGGCATTTTCATATCTGTTTACCTTAAGCCTCTGTAGTCTTTATTTTGTATTTTTGTAATAGATGGGTCTGTGGATATCCTAAGGTATTTACAGTCTGGCAGGACTCATTTTCAAAATCTCTTTTGCTTGTAGATTTTGTAAGGGCTCTCTCTTGGCTCGTAGTTCAGGTTAATGAGGTTCTGTTATCTATTTTGGTTGGTCTAGACTACCAATGTTCAAGCTGGTTTTAGAAAAGGCAGAGGAACCAGAGATCAAATTGCCAACATCCACTGGATCATCAAAAAAGCAAGAGAGTTCCAGAAAAACATCTGTTTCTGTTTCTGCTTTATTGACTATGCCTTTGCCTTTGACTGGATCACAATAAATTGTGGAAAATTCTGAAAGAGATGGGAATACCAGACCACCTGACCTGCCTCTTGAGAAACTCGTATGCAGGACATGAAGCAACAGTTAGAACTGTACATGGAACAACAGACTGGTTCCAAATAGGAAAAGGAGTACATCAAGGCTATATATTGTCACCCTGCTTATTTAACTTATATGAGTTTCTCAGAGTACATCATGAGAAACGCTGGGCTGGATGAAGCACAAGCTGGGATCAAGATTGCAGGGAGAAATATCAGTAACCTCAGATATGAAGATGACACCACCCTTATGGCAAAAAGTGAAGAAGAACCAAAGAGCCTCTTGATGAAAGTGAAAGAGGAGAGTTAAAAAATTGGCTTAAGGCTCAACATTCAAAAAACTAAGATCATGGCATCCGGTCCCATCACTTTATGGCAGAGAGATGTGGAAACAGTGGCTGACTCTTTTTCTGGGTTCCAGAATCACTGCAGATGGTGACTGCAGCCATGAAATAAAAAGACGCTTACTCCTTGGAAAGTTATGACCAACCTAGACAGCATATTAAAAAGCAGAGACATTACTTTGTCAACAAAGGTCTGTCTAGTCAAGGCTATGGTTTTTCCAGTGGTCATGTATGGATGTGAGGGTTGGACTATAAAGCAAGCTGAGCACCAAAGAATTGGTGTTTTTGAACTGTGGTGTTGTGGAAGACTCTTTAGAGTCCCTTGGGCTGCAGGGAAATCCAGCCAGTCCATCCTAAAGGAGATCAGTCCTGGGTGTTCATTGGAAGGACTGATGTTGAAACTGAAACTCCAGTACTTTGGTCACCTGATGCGAAGAGCTGACTCATTTGAAAAGACCCTGATGTTGGGAAAGATTGAGGGCAGGAGAAGGGGACGACAGAGGATGAGATGGTTGGATGGCTTCACCGACTCGATGGACATGAGTTTGGGTAAACTCTGGGAGTTGATGATGGACAGGGAGGCCTGGCATGCTGTGGTTCATGGGGTCACAGAGTCGGACCTGACTGAGTGACTGGACTGGACTGAACTGAACTGAGACTACCAATATCTCCTAACATTGTTTGAATTCTAGTATCTCTGTTCTGTTCCCAACTGCATAATAGCTGTTTTCTCTTGGGCCTCATCCAGGGTCACTATTGTGTCCTCAGTTCCAGTCCACGGACTCAAAGAGACCCTTGAACACAATCTCCAGGTGGACCCCTTTTTAGTGTCTTGACCACAGACTTCAGTCTTCCCTAAACCCTTATCTTTGACTTCTCAGCCCAGAAGGGCCATTGTAGATTTAATGGTAACCATGCAGAAGTGGTCCTTAGAGAGCTTGGACAGTTGTGGGCTCACCTATTGAATATTCCTGTAGGAACCATGGTATTGTACTTCCTGTTGTCCAGAGATGTTTTCTGACAGGAAACAGTCATCAAAATGATTTAAAATATGATTTGAAACTTTTGTGGAACATATTTTGATGGCAAAATTTATGGCATAGACATATAAGTTTATATTTAGTAAAAGAAATGTGAAACATAACTCTCATTTTTAGATGGCTTAATGGTACAAATAACTCCAGAGACTATGGATGGCTTGCGGCTAGCTTTACGAGAACAAAAAGACTTTAAAATTACATGTGGGAAAGTTGATGCTGTGGACATGAGAGAATATGTGGACATCTGCTGGGTAGATTCTGAAGAAAAAGGAAACAAAGGGTAGGCATTTTTTGTTATCAAAATGTAACTGATTTGATGGAGGAGAAAGGATAAAAACATGCTGTTAACAAAATTAAATATAAATATAGAATTATACCATTAATTTAAATGTATATACTTTAATTACTAAACACAGTATTTTTTCCAGAAATGTACCTAATCAGCATCATGTGTATTTCTTTATCTAGGAGGCTGTAAATTATTAAAGGGTGATCAGTTTGGGAAGGGGCCAGTGATACAATGTGCATTGTGTAGCACTGTAGCCTTTATGCCAGGTCTGACAAAGACAAGCTACTTTGTCTTCCGTATGGTACCTTGAGACACATATCTGTTTTCACCCCAGACTACCTTTTATATACCAGATATGTATTTCTGTGAAATTATTTCACAATTTTTTAATTAATTTTTTTAATTGAGTGATAATTGCTTCATAGAATTTTGTTGTTTTCTGTCAAGCCTCAACATGAATCAGCCATAGGTAGACATATATCCCCTTCGTTTTCAACTTCCCTCCCATCTCCCTCCCCATCCCACTCCTCTAGGTTGATACAGAGCCCCTGTTTGAGTTTCCAGAGCCAAACAGCAAATTCCTGTTGGCTCTCTATTTTACATATGGTAATGTACGTTTCCATGTTACTCTCTCCATACATCTCACCCTCTCCTCCTCTCTCCCCAGGTCCACAAGTCTATTCTCTATGTCTGTTTCTCCATTGCTGCCCTTTAAATAAATTCTTCAGTACCATTTTTCTAGATTTTGTATACATGCATTAGAATACAATATTTATCTTTCTTTTTCTGACGTAGTTCAGTCTGTATAATAGGTTCTAGGTTCATCTACCTCATTAGGACTGACTGAAATGTGTTCCTTTTTATGACTGAGTAATATTCCATTGTGTTCATGTACCACAACTTTTTCATCCATTCACCTGTCGATGGACATCTAGGTTGCCTCCATGGTCTAGCTATTGTAAACAGTGCTGTAATGAACAGTGGGGTACATGTGTCTTTTTCAGTTTTGGTTTCCTTAGGGTATATGCCTAGGAGTGAGATTGCTGGGTCATATGGTGGTTTTATTCCCACAATTATTTTTTGTAAGTAATGGAATCCTTTGGATGTTTATTCTGTATTATGTTGATCCATTGTAAATACAAACAACTGAATTCAATAATATATGTTTACATTAGAGACCTTATAGAATATTAATGCCATTCCCTCTTTTCTTTAGTTACCCATTTTCTTTCTTTTTTTGGAGACTGGCTGAGGGATCTGGAGCAAAAAAAGAAGGGGGCTAATGCTGAAGGATTCCAAAATAGAGTTTTTGAAATATATGAGATAGCTTTTCTGTTAGGAGACTATTTAAGGTATTTTAAACCTTAGGTCTGAATTGGGCATTTGAAAAAGTAGATATAATTTGCTCCACAATTTAAAAAATCTTGGTAAATGAATGTGAACTACAGTTTTAATTATTTTGTCTGTAATTGAGATGTCTTAACTGCTACTTTAAATTAATAGCTTTCATAATTTTTATCCTTATTCCATTTGTTATAATTCACTTCATAGAAAGCACTTTGGTTAATAATTCTATTACATTGTTTCTGCAGTGTTATTAGTTCAGTGGATGGAATATCATTACAAGGATTTCCAAGTGAAAAAATAAAACTGGAAGCAGATTTTGAAACTGATGAGAAGATTGTAAGGTGTACTGAGGTATCTTAGAAAATGATCCCTTCTGTTTACATGCTGTGTTTGGATATATTTTTGTTAACTTGGAGATTTCACAGTACTCAACTTCTGAATGTTTCAGTGCAGCTTATTACATTTTACATTACACCTTGAGACACACATAATCTCCACCCCAGACTGCCTTTTATCCACCAGATCTGGATCCCCGTAGGATTATTTCAGTTTATTATATGGTGATACAGCCTGTCAGCTCACAGTTAAGTTTTGGCAGCAGTGCCATCTTTGTGCAATAACGTGTTATTTGACCATAGTGTTTTCATTTTTCTCTTATTTTACAAAAAATAAAATATTTTATAGATATCAGTTTATAATCAGAATTCACATATGTAAGTCATTTTTACTTGTTCCAATTTTTTAAAATATGATTAAAGATAATATGAAACTATAGCTTCCCAGCCCCTTAGTCTACCTGCGTATTCCCCCTCATTCTACCTCTTGGGTCAATCAATGTTACTAATTTCTTAGGTATTCTTTGTGATTTTAGGTACATACAAGATAAACAGAGACTATAGAGGATACCGAAATTACAGAACATTATTTCTTTGTTTGATCTTAACTTCATTAAGATGTCTTTATAAGATGGGTATCTTGTAGGATGGACTCATTAATATTCTTTTTTTTTTTTAATACTCTTTTTTAAACTGAATTAACAAAGCTTTTGTTGCTACAAGTTAACTTTAGGTAAAAACAGCTAAGTCATTCCTGTATCCCCTAACCTTTGGTTTTAAGTTTTTACTTATAGATCAGCCCAAATATAGAGAATGTTCTTAACTAGTGAATTTCATGGCACTAACTTTGGAATTTTTTTTCATAAAGTTGAATTGAAATTAGCCATTGCATTTTTAAAGCTACTTTTAGTCTTAATCATGACTTGTTTCCTAATTGAATATATTTCAGGTATTCTACTTTCTAAAGGACCAGGATTTATCTATTTCAGCAACTCGTTACCAATTTGCAAAAGAAATCGCCATGGCTTGTAGTGCTGCACTATGCCCTCACTTGAAAACTCTAAAGAGTAATGGGATGAATAAAATTGGCCTCAGAGTTTCCATTGACACTGATATGGTGAGACATGTTTTTCTGATATATTTCTGAACTGAATATATCTTATATTAAAATAATCAAAAGTTTTTTAACCTTTTACTTTGGGATGACTGGAGAGAACTAATATTTGTTGAACATTAATATTTGGTATGTACTTCATGTACATCATCTCCTTTCCTGTCCACAGCAGGGGCCCATGAACTTTTTCTTGGTGAAAGGCCAGACAGTAAATAATTTAGGCATTGTTGGGCTATCTGTTTTCTTTCACAGCTACTTAACTCTGCCATTGCAGTGTGAAAGCAGCTATAGACAGTATATAAACAAACTTAGCTGCGTTCCAGTTAAAGTTTGTTTTCAAAAACAGTGGGTGGGCCACATCGACTCACAGGCCATAGCTTACTCATCCCTGCACTACATCATTCCTGCTTGATAAGTAGGTTTTTAAATTATGCTGGTTAGATTCTATATTTATATGATTTAAAATCATGAAAGTCTAATAAAAGTGTTTAAAAGGGGGAAATTTCAGTTTTTTCCTCCTGTGTAGGGAAAAACCTATTTCTTCCCTACTATTTCTTTCCAGTCTGTCTCTTTTAACTAGTCACAGAAAACACTTTTGGTCACCAGATGTGTAGAGGCTTTCCCCCACACCAATAAGCAATTCTCAGACACAAGCAGGACATCTTAAGAATTCAACTTAATTTTGACTGATTTACGCAGAGAGGGACTTCGCTGGTAAAAGACTTACCTGGTAAAGGATTTCCTTGGTAAAGAATCTGCCTGCAAAGCAGGAGACTTGGGTTTGATCCCTGGGTTGAGAAGACCCCCTGGGGAAGGGAATGGCTACCCACTCCAGTATTCTTGCCTGGGAAATCTGGATCATGGACAGAGGAGCCTAGTGGGCTGTGGTCCATGGGGTCACAAAGAATCTGACGTAACTGTCACTTTTTCACCCAGAGATAGCATCAGAACCTCCAGGTCTTACCAAACTGCCTCCTTCCCTACTTCATATGCCAGTCACAGTTATCACCTGTGCTTTTGACCAACCAGTTATGATCAGAAATTCCAATGACCGCCCCCCCTCCTCCTTGGGTTTAATTAATTTGCTAGAGCGACTCAGAGAACTCAGGGAAACATTTGCTTGTGTTTGTCAATTCATTAAAGGATATACAGATGAAGACATACATAGGGCAAGGTCTGGTAGTATCCTGAGCAGGAGTTTCCAGGGGTATTATCTCATAAATGTGTGTATATATATGTATATATATAAGGGCCACCTCATTAAACATTTTCAGAGAGCAGCATTCACACAATTCTCTTATTTAATTGATGACCTCTAGAGGTACTAACTCCAGGCTACAATGTAAATGGTTTCAGTAGAGTTGCTGAGATAATAGCCCTGGAAAGACCTCCTTCCTTCCCTTGACTCCTAACACTTTAGTCCATTTCCATACTCTGCTTCATCTTCCCTTCCTAGTCAGGCAGTCAAATGTTATCCATTTCTGTGTATTCTTTGTAATTTACATGTATGAGCAAGTAAGTTTTTATGTCCTTTTTGTTCTACTCTTTTCACTTTTTTTAAAAAAGCAGTGCTTCTTTAACTTATATCTTAGGGAGATTTCATATTAATTGCACACTCTTTTTAAAAGTTGCATAGTAGTAGTTGACTATATAAATGTACCATAATTTATTTAGTTCTTATGCATGTTTGGTATATACGGCTTGATATTTAAGGTATCCACAATATTTGGTTTTGCTTAACTATGAGTATATAACATTCCTGGAACTCCCAGGTCCAAGTATGTAGTCAGTAGATATTACCATATTATCTCAAATAAAGGTTATGACAATTTATACTTCTGCCACAGTTTATGATAGTATTCTTTCTCTCACATTCTTATCAAAGCAGTGTATAATCAAACTTCCGAACTTTACCAATTTACTAGGTTGAAAAATGGTACTCCAGTAGTATTTTAATGTTACATTTTTAGCTGCTTCCAACATCCAATATAATAGATTTCACTCCAGGTTTTTCATTAGAACAGTCAATCTTTTTCTTTTTTTTTGGCTGTGCGGTGCAGCATGTGGTATCTTAGTTCCCCAGCCCGGGATACAGCCCATGTCCCTTGCAGTGGAAGAGTGGAATCTTAACCACTGAACCGCCAGGGAAGTCCCAGAATGGTCAGTCTTAACATGAATAATTTCACATGCTAAAGGTTTGCTTTTCTTCAGGCAAGATGTGTTACAGTTCTTATTGGAAAAAAGAACTTATATTTTTATCTATTAAAAGTTCCTTTTTCAAGGAAGCATCTGATAATTATTTAAGTAATTATTGTTAATTTTTTTAGTCATATGTATTAAAATGTAATTTTCACCAGCAAAATTCAATTCAAATATTATTTTACAACAAATTAAAAATATTTTTAAGCAGATCTTTTTAAAAATACCATGGGGTTTTTACTTAAGTCGTACTGATAATTATTCAAAACCTTGGTCCACCATGTGTTTTACATGTTCGTAGAGAAGAGACCTAAAGTAAAGTGCGGGCAATTTTATTTTCATAAAATCTGTGGGAGGGACAATTATAATTTATGTAGTAGATGGGGAAATAAAAGAGAATGTAAAACATTATTTTATGAATGAAAATATGAAGTATTAACATGCTCAAATAGATGATACTCTTAAATAGTTTATTTTATATTCATCTGCTGAACTAAAACAAGATTGCTCACTTTGTAGGGTTGACTTACCAAGATATTTTTTTTTTCCAGGTTGAATTTCAGGCAGGATCTGAAGGCCGACTTCTTCCTCAGCATTATCTTAATGATCTTGATAGTGCTCTAATCCCTGTGATCCATGGTGGGACCTCCAGCTCTACTAGTTTACCATTAGAAATAGAATTAGTATTTTTTATTATAGAAAATCTTTTTGAGTGAAGGAACTGTCGTACTATATGTTACAAATTGATTTGTTAAAACTAACTCCAGCACTAAGGCTGAAATGCCACAAACACTAAAAGAAAATAAGTTTGATATTTGAAACTTGTAAGCTTTGCTTTTTAGGCAGGAATGATCTTTTAAAAATCATTAGCACAATTTAAATCTCAAAAAAATTGAAGAGATCCACAGTTTTTGAAGCTTTACTGGAAAAGACGGATTTCTTTTGTCCTTAAGAAATTTGCAGCATTTACTGTGTTGTTTAAATGCTAAAGCCAAAGTATCTGCACTTTTATGCCAAGAACGATTTTAGTGAAGGCTCCTTTCAGATGTAACCTTATGAGGGAAATACCTGTTTTGTTTATATGCCAGTTAAATTTCTGGTTTCTAAAGTCTGTTAAAAATGTATTTCAATGGCACAGACCAGTTTCCAGATCTTAGACTTATATGATAATTCTTTGAATAAGGCAGATTAGCTTATTTGTTTAATTGGAGTGGAGACCTACCTCCATGATTAGATAAACAGATTATTTGCATTAAAATCAGAATTTTGCCTTTTTTCTTTTCGAATTATTATTTTATATATATATGACTTTCTGTTGATTAAATGGGTATTCTTAAAATAATTGTGGGTGCTTCAGGATTTTGTGCTTCTATATTTAAGTATATTGTTTTTATAGCGAGAACATGTGATTTGGTATGTGTTTTATAAATCTTTAATAATTTATAAACAGGTGATATTTTTGTATTGCAGTGCTTTATTTTTCCTCCTTTCCTCCCAAAGTATACCACTGTATATACCACTTCTGAGAGTGATTGACGACAGGCCAGATGACCCTTGAAGTAGTCATTATGTAGCAATAAATGAAGCCTGAAACAAGTGTTTTTTTAACTTCTTGAAACCTTAAAAATTTCTTGGCAAGTCTGCATATTTTCATTGACACCATTGTATTAAATATAAATTTAAATGAACTACTTACTTTTGCATACTTTAAATTCTTCATATGGTAATTATTTTTTATAACAGGATACTAACATAAGTTAAAGTCTATGTATTTGAAACTGTTAAGAAAACTTTCTTCTTTACTTCAAATAGCAGAAAAATTTTAAAGTTCATTGTGTTTTAAAAAAATCACATTTTAGTTAATCCTGTCATTTAAGTTATATAAAATATAATCATTATTTTAATGTTTTTTTAATTCTTATGTGGAATATATATGTTTTTGTATCAAAAACACTCCTATTTCTCACAAAAAGGAAACTACACTAAATAGCCCTGTTTTAAGAAAAGTAAGTATCTATGAAGCATCTCAACTTGAAGACAAAGTCAGGGTTACAATAACTCAGGATCTTAGGTCTCAGGCTAGGAAAGACAAAATTTGAATCAGTTTGGTCATATGGTTCCTACTAAATCACATCTGTAGTACTAGCCAAAGACATGGCATGAAGGAAAATATCAGTCTTCTGGAAGTAACTACTTCATAAACAATGTAAAATGTTGCAGATATTAAATAAAATAGCAACATGTAATAACTTGTGAAATTTGTTGACATCATATAAGATAAAAACAAATGCATATTAAACTCAATTTGTTTTCTTTATATATTTGTTGTTTTTTTTACAGTGTAAGTTAACTGTACAGTCTATGAATACTGAATTTACTTTAAAATAACCAGAAGGTAGAGGGCTCTTCCCATGATGGGATGGCTTTGGATTTGTTCCCATAAAGTTTTTACATTTAATGAAAATTGGAGTTATTGTATCTTTGGAGGCACTAAAGTATTCTTGTAGATAAATGTTTCTGAATGCATTTGTCATGTTCTTCATTGATACTTAATTTAAAATTTTAATTTTTTTAAAGATGAAGAAATAGAATGGTTCTTTGTACTCAGTCTGCAATGATCTATTTTTGGTCTATGCCTTTTAAGAGTACTGTTTTCCTCTGAATTTTGAAATACAAAGTAAAATTTAGCCCATTTGTTTTTTGCAGCCATCTGGCAGACTTTCTGTATCTATATGCTTGCTATACACAGAGCACTTTATTAAGCTTCATTGATTGAAAGAAGAATAAACTAGTTCTTTCCCTCTTGGAGATGAATATGTGAAGCAGATAGTTAACAAAGAAAAAGTAATTTGCTAAAATAGCAATATGACTTTTGAGTAACTGGTTGGAAAACAATCCAGGAGGATAGCTGTACCAAAAAAATGAGAAGGGATGGGCATTAAACTTGCCTTGGCAAGAGGTGAACATCTGAAGAGTAGATAATATGTCAGAACATTGAATTTTCCTTCTTAAGGCAATTTAAAGAGTCTTCTGTGTTGTGTGAATATCTTACCTTATAATTTAATCATAAAAGGAGTAGCTTGACTATGGTGTCTCAACAGCCTAGATTTAAATATTGTTTTATAAGAATACAAGGTTTTTTTTAATAGCAAGCGTAACTTTGATAACTTGACTCAAATTTTAAAAGAAAATATCTTGAAATAAACCAGAAACCTCTGAACAATCCTAGGTTTTAATTTATTCTTTTGTGGTTAAAGTAATGGTTCATATATAATATATAAACATTAAAAAGTCAGAAATGTTAAAAACTTATCAGTATAAATTTTCCTGCCAACTTTGTATGCATTTATCTTGTTCTTCTCACTCTCACTCACCAATCTCAGTAAGAAGTGATTTTTATTGTTGTGTATCTTCCCAAGGCTTAGGTACAGTAGAAGCAAATAGAAATATGTTTTTATTTTTTCCCCTCATTTTTTATACAAAATATAGTGTGCTGTTTACACTGAAGAACACAATGTCATGTCCTCAGTTACTTTTGATTTATGTGGCTTCTACTTAGAAAAGTTATGTGGCTTCTATCTTAAAAAAGTTTCACTGCTTCTCAAACCACTATTTGATTGATAAAAGCAATCTTAATTGCAGAAAGGCAAGAAGAATATCCATTATTGGGATTATGACCATATGTTTCAGTAGGAGGACTATTTTTCTCAAAACAAATTTTTACAAAAATACTTGCAGGGTTATTTTTTATTTGAGCTATATTTAAAACCTTTATTATTTTTATTTTCCTACTCAATACTAAGCCTCACCATCTAAATTTATCTTTTACCACTTAATTGACACATTGTTTTTTTGTTTTTTACATCTGATTTTTCATATGTTTAAATCTTCTCTTTATAGTCTGTGTTTTGGATTTAGCTTAGGTTGGGATGATACACAATATTTAACACCTTTTGAAAAACATCTGCATTCACATTGAGAAAATTACAGCCATATTTTCATGTTTTTACAAATGAAGAAATATGTCTAATTCAAGTGCTTTATTCTGAACCTCTGAATATAAAGTTGTGTTTTTTCCCCTTTTGGTAAAATAAGATACTAGCCAGCCTCCAAAATAGCCCACAGTGATCCATGCCTGTTGGTATTCACACCCTCGTGTAGTCACTTCCCACATTGTACCACTGTTTGTAACTAATAGAATATGGCAGAAGGGATGGGATGTCATTTCCAATATTGCCTTATAAAAGTTCTGTGGCTGCCATCTTTGGTACATTTCTCCCCACCTCTCCCTCCCTGTCTGTCCCTTTCTCTTTCTCCTTCTCTATTGAGTCACTCAATTTTGGGGAAGTCAGCTGCCAGGAAAGTGGAAGGGGATCCTCCAACCCGTGTCAAGACTTCAAATTGCAGCCCCAACCACAACTTGACTGTACTCTCCCAAAGACCACCCAACTAAGCAGTTCTTAGATTTCTGAATCTCAGATATAAGTATATGTTTTTTGTTGTGTTTTTATTTTAATTGGAGGATAATTATTTTACAGTATTGTGATGGTTTTTGCTATACATCAGTATGAATCAGCCATAGGTATACATGTGTCCTTCCATCCTGAACCCCACCTCTCTCCTCCCTCCCCACCCTATCCCTCCCTCTAGGTTATCACAGAGCACTGCGTTTGGGTGCCGTGCTTTATGAGTCAGACTCACACTGGTTATCTGTTTTACGTATGGTAAATATATGTTTGAGTAGTATTCTCCCAAATCATCCCACCCTTTCCTTCTCCCACTGAGTCCAAAATGTCTGTTGTTTTAAGCTGCTACATTTTCTGTTGGTTAATTACATAAAGCAACTAATATTAGGTAACTGAAACAAAATACTGATATCTTACATCAGCTCTAAGTAAAAATTTCTAAAAAAAAAATTGCTTTGACAAAATTAAGCATAATTCTTACCAACATTTATGGATTGCATGCCACAAGGAGTATGTGCTAAGTGCAGAGAATACCATGAGAAAGAGTAGGTTTGGCCATGTAGGAACAAAGATGGGACTGTGGGAAACTTTCTCTTTCTCCACATTGCTTGTTAAGATATTTAGAGTATGGCTTTGCTAAAAACAACCAAAGCTGATTAAAATACAAAAAGAATCTTAAAACCTCAAAGAGATTTTAAGACAGTATGGAACATCCAGTTAAAAAAATAAAAGAGAAGTGAGCATGGGTCCCTAATATGATAGCCTAATGGGGTAAGGGGGACAGATATCAAAGTTCAAGACCCACACAAGATGGTGAATCTAACAGGAATTGTGAATCTGACAGAAGAATAGTCCCCTACAATAGTCTGAGATTCCCTCAGAGGGTTTTGGCCTTTGGATGAAGATGAGCCAGAAATATAAATTATGTAAAAAATTAAATTAAAAAAATAAATTATATAAAATTACAGCCAGGTTTAGAATTGCCTACATCTCCCAAAGACTCTTAAGCATTCAACTTGCTTTAAGGTGGTCCCCCACTGGTGATGCCTCCTTCAGGTGCTAGGAGGAATAGAACTCTCCATAGAAAGTAATTGTAGGTCTCAAATTAATTTTCAAATATGGTATCTATTTGCACACAGTAAAATCAAAACACACACACAAAAACTGAAAAGGCATGTGAGGGAACTAGATTCCAGAAGCAGGAATTAGTAGAAACAAGTAAATTTGTATCATCTTAGATATTTATGCTTTCTGTGTTTAAAGAAATAAACTGTCAAGTACCTGTAGGCAATGGGAAATTAAAAAGTGATGGAACTAATCTGGGAAAAACAAATATTGCAAGAATATTTAAAAATTGGGAAATAGGTTTGATGGCAGAATAGAATATAGCCAATTGGAAGGCTGTATAGACGAGTATAAATCAGGAGGTGGCTTATAATCCCAGACGGTGGTTTGATCTGTTTCGATGTTAACTGCCATGTGCTCTTCTTCAAGAGGGGAGCTTGTCTTTTGTGAATTTTTTGTACATAAGTATTTGTTACAGATATTTTAGCAAATGCTTTCTCTTGCTTGTGCATATCTTGGCTGGCATTACAGAAAAATAGTGTAAACATTATTTCCTTACTGGGGAATGAGGGTTTTTTCTTTTTTTTTTTTAGTGTGGGTGGGTGGGTGGGTAGGGTATGGTTTATGTTGAATGTTTAATTTTTCTTCTGCATAAGACATCATGTTGTGGGATCTTTAGGAAACTTCATACTGTACGAATAAGAAAATAAAATATTTGAAACTTGAAAAAGAAAATCGGGAGAAATTAATCAGAATCACAGGTCATACTTCCACAGACACCTCATCTCATTCCACTCCTAGAGGAGGAGTACATATAATTCCACCACCTCTACCCAGATTGGGTTAATTAGAACTTATCTTTATATCATTTATTCCTATTTAAATATGTCATCAAAAGCAGCTCCAAACTATCAGGTCAATGCCCATTTTTCACATTCTAATATTCATAAAGCCCTGTACATCATCTTTCTTCAATGTATCATGTACCCTTAACACATGAAACCCTTCCTTTGTGGGAAAAAACCAAAAAGTAATCACACATATTTGCTATAAAATTTTCTAAACACTTGAAAATAGAGAAAATCTTAATAATATGAAATTCCATGTACTCATCCTATAACAATCCTCAGATTCGAAAGTTAATCAAGATTTTCCACTTTTGCTTCATTTACCTCTTGATTTCTTTGCTGGAGTATTTTCAAGATAATCAGACATCATTATCTCATGCCACTTACTCCAGTTGCTGTGCTGTGCTTAGTCATGTCCAACTCTGTGACGCCATGGACTGTAGCCCACTAGGCTCCTCTTGTCCATGGGGATTCCCCAGGTAAGAATACTGGAGTGGGTTGCCATGGCCTCCTCCAGGGTATCTTCCCAACCCAGGGATCAAACCCAGGTCTCCCGCATTGCAGGCAGATTCTTTACATATTCCACTATATAGTTCTAAAAAGTGGACAGTGAAGAGTAAGTTTGAGCCAGTTACTATAAAAATCTAAAAAATGTTGCCCCAATATGGTGATCAACAGGTCATAAAAACTTTTGTACTTAAAAAAAAAAAACTTTTGCACTGCAACTGGTATGATCTAGAAAGTGAAAAGACAACCTGCGGGACTTCACTGGTGGTACAGTGGATAAGAATCTGCCTGCCAACGCAGGGGACACAGGTTTGATCCCTGGGTTGAGAAGATTCCGTATGCTGTGGGTAAGCAAGCCTGTGTACCACAACTGCTGAGCTCGAGCTCTAGAGCCCTTGAGCTACAACTGAAGCCAGCGCGCCTAGAGCCTATGCCCCACAATGAGAGGCCACTGCAGTGAGAAGCCTGCACACCACAACTACAATAGCCCCCACTCTTCGCAACTAGAGAAAGCCTGCATGCAGCAAAGACTCAGCAGAGCCAAAATGAAATTACTTTAAAAAAAGACAGCCTGTAAAATGGAAGAGAATATTTGTAAATCAAACATTTGTTAAGGAACTTGTAGTCGGACTTTACAAAAAATTTTTACAATTCAACAAAATCTCCACAAATAACCTAATTTTAAAATGTGCAGATAATTTGAATAGACACTTCTCTATAGAAAATATATAAAAAGCCAATAGGCACTTTAAATAGTTAAGCATTATTAGTCACTAGCAATACACAAAGACCACAATGAGATGTTACTTCATATTCATTTCGATGACTATAATTAAACTTTTTTTAAGTATTGGCGAGTATGTGGAGAAACTGGAACCCTCATACGTTGCTGGTGGGAATGTAAAATGTCTTATGTAGCTGCTTTGCAAAACTGGCAATTCCTCAAAAAGATAAACATGAGTTAACATATGAACCAGCAATTCCACTCCTAAGTATATACCCAGGAGAAATACATCCACATATTATACTTCCACACAGAATTTTGTACAAGAGTGTTAATAGCAGTCAAAATTCACTAGTAGTCAAAAAATGGAAACAATGCATGGTTCATCCATTAATTGATGAATGGACAAATAAATGTGGTATATGTAAACAATGAAAATTTATTTGGCCACAAAAAAGAAGAAAGTGCTGATACATGCTACCATAGGGATGAACCTTGAAAACCTGCTAAGTGAAAGAAGCCAGTCACAAAATACAGTATGATCTCATTTAAATGAAATGTCCAGAATGGGCAAATCCATAGAGCCAGAAAGTGGATTAGTGGCTCCCTAAAGTTAGGAACAAAATGGGGAGTGACTGCTTTGGATGATGGAGACGTTCTAAAATTGTGGTGCTGGCTGCACAATGCTATGACTACACTGAATTGTAAATTGTACCCTTTAAATGTGTAACATTTTGTATCATTAGGAAATGCAGATCAAATACAAGCCGATCAATTGTATGTCTCCAGAAAGATTTTTCTCTAAGATAAGTCATTGAAATTTAGTGTTTTCTGAAACTCAAGAAATCTTTTGATCTTGAGGAAATCCAGCCTAATTGAAGACACAGTGAGATAATTGCATCTCGTCTGGACTTAACCTATGTCAAAATCTGCAGAGTTGGGCGAGAAGGACTGCCATTTGTCCTTTATGTAACTTGTGCTATTTGTTATCCTAATTTTACAACTGACAGACGGAGTGGAATTAGTTACAGTACTAGAATACGGCAGTGATACGTTCCTAATTATCATCAGTCTGACTCCACTGGCGCTTTTTCCAATCCCAGCTTGGTTGTGGAAAGGAGTTAAGGAGGGCAAAGAAGGCGCTGGGTCGGAGACTCTGACAGGAGTGTTTCCAATGAAAACCGTCAGCGAGAAGAGGGGACAGAAAAAATTTGACTTAGCATTTCAGCCTCCTCATGCAGGAATACTCATCTTTATGAAGCTATGATTTCATGTCATTTTTTAGGATGTTATCAAATTAAAAAGAAATATATATATATCGAACTTTGGAAATTCGTGCCCCACTGCAGCAACTAGGCGTCTCAACCCAGCCTCCGTCTTCCCTGACGAGACGTTCTACAGAACTACTGTGACTACTTTTCAGAAGAGCAAGTCGCGCGACACTTGGACGCGAACAACAGCCGGCAGGACCGCGCACCCGCGAAACTCGAGCTGCAGCCTTTGCGCGTGCGCATTGCTTCTCAGCCTCTTCCGCCTCCGTCTCGCAGGCCACTCCTCTTAGTCTGTCGAGTCGGGTTTTCTCGCCACAGGTGACGGGTCGTCAGAGGTGCCCACCCTCGGCGCCTGCGCAGACTGAGGCTCACTGTCACCATGACAACGCCCGCCGGGGGCCCTGGTAAGCGGGGCTCCCCCGGCTCCGAGTCTGAGACCGTGCTCCACACTGTTGGCTTGCAGTGAGTGGACATTTTCTCCGGCCCGGTGCCGTAGTTGGGGGCCCTTTGAGAGTCTCCTCTGGTGGCACTCCTTCCTGTTTTGGATCTTCATGGTTCACGTTCTCCACGTGTGCCCATAATCAGCTGGCCTAGAGCCTTGGTTCCCAGTGTGGGCGTTAGCGAAAAGCTTTTGGGGTGTTCAAGAATGGCAAGAATATTGTGCCTTTTCGAACAGGATTTCTTTTTTTCAAAAGAGCAGTTTTAGGTTCTTAGGAATACGAAGTGGCAGACCTGGAAGTTCTCCATTCGGCCCTATGTGACATATGCATGCATGCTCAGTCGTGTTGGACTCTGCGAACCCATGACCTGGGATTTTGCAGGCAAAAATGCCTGGTTTGCCATTTCCTACTCTAGGGACAAATACATAGCTTCCCATTATCAATCTTCCTCTTCAGAGTGGTACTTTTGTTACAGCTATGAGCCTGCCTTGATGTATCACAATCACTCAAAGTCCATAATTTACATTGTTCACTCTTGGTGGTGCAGGATCTGTGAGTTTAGACAAATGTATAATGAATGACATGGTCCATGGTAGAGTATCATACAAAATAGTTTCACTCTCCTAAAAATCCTTTGTGCTTTACCTACTTATCTTCTTCCCCCCAACCCCTGAAAATCAGTGATCTTTCTATTGTATCCATAGATTTTTTTTGTCTTTTCCAGAACGTCATGTAGTTGGAATCATAGAGTACATCGGCTTTCCACATTGGCTTTTTTTCACTTAGTAATGTGTGTTTAAACTTTCCCCATGTCTTTTCATAGCTTGAGAGCGCATTCCTTTTTAGCGAACCGTGATAATCCTGTTATGTGAGTGAACCACAGTTTATCCATTCATATTCTGAGAGAGATCTTGGTTGCTTCCAAGTTTCGGCAGTTGTAAATAAAACTGCTATAACCTAAGTGTGCTGTAAATAAAACAGCTAAAAACCTAAGTGTGCAGGTTATTGTATGGACATAAGTTTTCAACTCCTTTGGGTAGATATCAAGGGGTGATTTCTGGATTGTATGATGGGAATGTACTTAGCTTTGTAAGAAACCGGCAAGCTTTATTTTAAAGTGGCTATACCATTGTGCATTCCCACACAATGAGTGTAGATTCCTGTTACTCCATATTCTCACCAGCATTTGATAACTAGTGTTCTGGATTATGGCCATTTTAGTGTGTAGTTACACCCTGTTGTTTTAATTTGTGTTTGATGAAAAGTGATGTGGAGCACCTTTTTATATGGTTGCCATCTATCTTCTTTGTTAAGGTGTCTGTTAAGGTCTTTGGCCCCTTTTTTTTTTAATGGGGTTGTTTTCTTATTGTTGAGTATTAAGAGTTCTTTATATATTTAGGTTAATAGTCTTTTATCTTATGTGTCTTTTGCAAATGTTTTCTCCCCGTCTGTAGCTTATCTTTTCATTCTCTTGATGTTATCTTTTGCAGAGCACAAGTTTGTCATTTTAATGAAGTCCAGCGTATCCATTATTTCTTTCATGGATGGTGCCTTTAGTGCTGTATCTAAAAAGTCATTTCTGTACTGAAAGTCATCTGTTTTCTTCTATGTTACCTTGTAGGAGATTTATAGTTTTGAATTTTACACTTTGATCTATGATCTATATTGAGTTAATTTTTGTGAAGGTATGAGTTCTGTGTCTAGATTTTTTTTTTTTTTTTGCGAAAAAAAAAAAAAAAAGTTTGTTGAAAAGGCTGTCTTTTCCCCATTGTATTGCCTTTGTGCCTTCATCGAAGATCAGTTATCTCTATTTATGAGGGTCTGTTTGGGGGCCTCTCTGTTTTGGTCCATTGATCTATTTGTTTATTCTTTCACCAAAACAACACTGTCTTAATTGCTGTAGCTTTATAGTAAGTCTTGATGTTGGATAGAGTCATCACTTTGTTCTCCTTCCATATTATATTGACTATTCTGAGTTTTTGCCCTCCACATACACTTTAGGACCAGTTAGTTGGTAGCCACAAAATAACTTGGTGGGATTTTGATTGGAATTGCTTGAATCTATAGATTAAGTTGGGAAGAACTGACATCTTGACAGTATTGAGTCTTCCTATCCATAAATATGGAATATCTATCCATTTATTTAATTCTTCTTTGATTTCATTCATCACAGTAGTTATCCTCATGTAGATCTTTACATATTTTGTTAGCTTTATCCCAAAGTGTTTTGGTTTTATGGGTTTAATGTAAATGGTATTGTGTTTTCAACTTCCACTTACTCATTGCTGTGTAAATAGGAAAACAGTTGACTTTTGGGGAGGAGGGTGCTGCACTAGGTCTTCACTGTGACATGCAGGCATATAAAAATAACTCTTTAAGTAACATTCTGGTTGCATCCATGTTGCTGCAGATGGCATTATTTTGTTCTTTTTATGGCTGAGTAGTATTCCATTGTATATATGTACTACATTTTCTTTGTCCATTCATCTGTCCATGGACATTTAGGTTATTTCCATAACTGGCTGTTGTGACTAGTGCTGCTATGAACATAGGGGTGAATTTTTTTATTTTTGTTTCTTTGTTTGTTTTCTACACCACACAGCATCTTTAGTGGGATCTTTAGTTCCCCAACCAAAGATCAAAAACCCATGCCCCCTGCATTGGAAGTGCAGCGTCTTAACCACTGGACTGCCAGAGAAGTCACATATCTCATAAACTTCATTTTTAACAGCCACATCAATTACATATTTTATCATGAGGATAAACTGTGATTTAATTACTTACCATTGTTGGACATTTCTGTTTTAGCCAATAATTCCTGTGCCTTTTTAAGATGCATAAGGTAAACATTTAAAAAATGATGACCACTTATTTTCATCTGAGTCTGAAAGGTCTGTGACTATTGCATATGCTAAAAAGGGACATTTGTTTTTCTATAGGAGACTGCTTGGGGGACAGTGAACACTACAATTAACTCTCCCCTTTCTTTATTCTGTAACCCAGCACACAGAGTAGTCGCTAAGTTCCTTGAGTATTACTCAGAAGTTATTTTTATGTGCCCTCCATTCTCTTATCAAATTTTATTTTCTTTCTATGTCTTGTCAGCAGTTTATAATGGCCATCTTTAAGTTTTAAACCTGTTGTTATGTAGAATTAATAAACAATTAACGGAAGACACACTCATGCATAGGGAATTTGTAGCCATTTGGTAGGTACTTAAGTGTTCAAAACAATGAACAAAAATTGGGGAGGTAAGGTTATAGATAACTCTTACTGTTTTTCAGCCTTTTGTCCTTGTTAGGGGGGCATCCCCCCGTGGCTCAGACAGTAAAGAATCTGCCTGCAATGCAGGCAGGGTTCGATCCCTGGGTTGGGAAGATCCCCTGGAGAAAGAAATGGCAACCCACTCCAGTATTCTTGCCTGGAGAATCCCACAGACAGAAGAGCCTAGCAGGCTACAGTCCAAGGCGTTGCAAAGAGTCGGACACGACTGAGTGACTAACACTTTCACTCTCAGTGGGATATGGCGTTGTATGAAGTAGAACTGATTCAAGTATTTTAGTCTTAACTAAATTAACTCACACGTTTTAATGCCTAATTAAGAAAAAAAATCTGGTCTGCCAAAAAGTAGTCGAAAGATACAGGAATTATGTATATTTTTACATGCTAGAGAAATCTAAAGATACTAACTCAGAATTTACTTAGTCACTCATAAGTGTTGCTGACACTCATAATTTGAAGGTGAATATGCTTAAATGTTGGGCTTCCCAGGTGGCGCTAGTGGTAAAGAACCTACCTGTCAATGCAGGAGACATAAGAGACAGTGGGTTTGATCCCTGGGTGGGAAAGATCCCCTGGAGGAGAGTATGGCAACCCACTCCAGTATTCTTGCCTGGGGAATCTCATGGACAGAGGAGCCTGACAGACTGCAGCCTATAGGGTCGAAAAGAGTCAGACACAACTGAAGCGATTTAGCACACACGCATGCTTAAATATATAATTTAAAATTCTAATAGTTAATATAAGTATAGAATGGAGCCTCAGGTGGAGAGTTTAAGTTCTACACAGTTTTGATGTTTTTAATATAGCTTTGCCTTTACATACATTTTACTTAATTATGGGGCTAGAATTGGAGAAGATACCGTGTGGAAATTCTTGCTTTAAAATATCTGCTTCTTAACAGTTTTTTTTTTTCTTCCTGAATTTTTCTTTACACTTCTGAGGCTCAAACTATCCTATATGTTTACTAGTTATTATTTATATCATATATAGCATGCATGTGTGCATACTCAGTCGTATCCTACTCTTTGTGACCCCATGGACTGTAGCCCCCCACGCTTCCTGTCCATGGATCCTCTAGGCAAGAATACTGGAGTGGGTTGCCATTTCATATTCCACATTTATAGCATATTTATATATAAATATATATATACATATATATCTCTTTTTATTTGTCACATCGTAATGTATGCTGAGTCCCTTCAGTCATGTCTGGCTCTTTGTGACCCCATGGACTGTAGCCCCCCATGATTCTCTGTCCTTGGAATCCTCCAGGCAAGAATACTGGAGTGGATTGCCATGCCCTCCTCCAGGGGATCTTCCCGACCCAGGGATCGAACCCTCATCACTTGCGTCTCCTGCATTGGCAAGCAGATTCTTTACCACTAGTGCCAACTGGGAAGCCCATCTTGATACTGGTTCTTAATTTTTTAAAAATCTTTTCTCAGTTTTATTGCTTTTTTTTCCTCCATCAACATATGCTGTGCCCTTTTGATTTAAAAAAATACCCTATAAAATTATTTTTAATATGAATACTGTCATTTTAGGATCTTGGAGTGAAAATATACTGGAATATTTTCTGAGAAATAACCAGATAACAACAGAAGATGGCGCCCAAATCATCTGGTATCATGCAGCTAACCACAAGGTGCAAATGAATGAGGCACTGAGAAGTAAGTCAGTATTCCCTGTGCTTAGATGAATTCAATTTTTTTAAAAAAATCTGGTCATATTTGCAGGTACCAGAGCCTTAGATGATTCAAGTGTAAATTCTTGGCTAATATAAACATTCTTCTAAAAGATCTCATTTTATTTACAAAATGAACAAATTTTCCTAATGGAAGAATTTTCTCATTTTCCAGAAATGATTTACCTTTACTATGCCTTAGTTCTCATGTATTATTACATTTGCTTATATATAGTAGTGATTTAAGTAAAATGTTTAAGATCATGGTTGTAGGTCGTATTTTTGTGTCTTTCACAGCGTACTCAGGAGAGGCTCAAAAATATTTGTCTAATGGATGAATGAAGCCATTGAATGCTAATTTATAATGCTTTGGGCAGTATTTATGCCTGGGCTAGAAACCAAGCCTTTGGGTTTGCTAACTCCATCTGTAATCTTATATAGATGAACACTATAGCAGTTTAGTTAGCCTTTTCCTGTGAAGTACCCCTTTTGGCTACAATGGTGCAAGAGAATGAAGGTGTATCATCAGAGGGATAGGGCATAGGTTGAAGTGCCCTGTTCTAACAGAAAGATTTCCTTGTAATCTCATATTTTATTGTAAAAATTTTCACATTTACTCAATTGACACAATTTACACATCCAACTCAATTGTGTATCTGGATAATGTATCTGAATATATTTCTTTTATTGAAAAGATATTATTTTCAGTTGCTTTTCAAAGGAAAGAAATTTGTCTTCTAATATTTAATGCCTCATAATTAAAACAGTGCCTCGCACATAATAACCTAACAGTGGTTTTTTAATAAATAAATTTTAGCAGAAACAAAGCTTAAGGAAAACATTGATTAATGGCTTCCTGGAGCTGAAATGAATAGGGGCTGGGGAGTAAATGCTAATGGGTACAGGTTTCTTTTTGGAATGATAAAATTTTTCTGGAATTAGATGGTGATGATGGTTGCACAGGGCTTTCCAGGTGGCTCTAGTGGTAAAGAACTGCACGCCAGTGCAGGAGATGTTAGAGAAACAGACTCAATCCCTGAATCGGGAAGATCCCTGGAGGAGGGCATGGCAACCCACTCTAGTATTCTTGCCTGGAGAATCCCACAGACAGAGGATTCTGGTGTACTATAGTCCATAACGTCGCAAAGAGTCAGACACGACTGAAGTGACTGAGCACACACGCACGCATGATGGTTGCACAACCTTCTGAATATTCTGAAAACCACTAAATGGTATGCTTTAAAAGAGTAATTTTATAGCTTGTGAATTATATATCAATTTTTTAAAATAGAAGAAAATAGGAAGAAATATATCTATTATTTGCAGACAATATAGTTTTATATTTAGAAAATCAAAAAGATTCTACAGCTAAATGATTGTAACTCATAGGTTGATATAGACAATCTCAACCTTTTTGACAATATAAAAATCAAAGCAGAAAATAAATTGGATTTCTCTGTAACAGCTAAAAATTTGGAAGCAATCTTTAAATTTTATGGTTTGTAACAGTAAATGTAGAAGTCTCAGACCTAGAAATAATTTAATTAAATATGAATACGTCTAGCCTTGTTTTAAAATGGAAGTCATTTCCAATTGCTGGCAGTCTGCTGTTGACCTGGGAATTTTTCATAGGTTACTTAGTTTTCAGATAATATCCTCTTTACTTTCTCTTAGTCAACCAGAACCCCAAGTTTTATAGTTTTGGGTGTACTTTTTATCAAGTCCCTTTTTTCAGTCCTGGCTAATCTTGCAATTTCTTTCAAATACAAAGGAAAGAAAACAGGTTCCTGGAGACATGTATTACACTGCTTTATCTCATTTCTTTCAGAATATTTAATTTAGTACAGCTGTTATTAATGAAGCTGTTTCTGCTTTCATTAATACGGGATATTGGATTTTCAACAATGTGTGATTTAAAAAAGCGGAGTACAGGAGGAACAATGTAGGAGTGCCGTTTGTCGCCATAAGAGTTGCATTGTCAACACATCTGATCTCAGAAGAGTCAAAATTGTTTACAAAAGTTATTACATATAATGTTATTTTTTGTTATAACAGTTCTGCATGTAGATTTTTATTTTTATGTATTTATTTATTTTTTGCATGTAGATTTTTTTAATGTATATTAAAAGAAATGCTGGTTAAAAATAGAAATTATTAAATCTCTTTGAGAATAAAAAATGTCATATTTTTAAAAAAACCTTTGTAACATATTTAGGAAAAGTGTGACTATAGTCATCAACTCAATGTATTAATAAAAATATAGTAAATTGCTGCATTAGGGCATGTAAACAGTATAAGCAAGATAGATATTTTTAACTTCATTTCTATAAACGTATTTCTTTGAGCTTTGTTTTAATGTAAGTAGCATCTATTTGGGATTTTCTTGTGTATAAAATCACAACAAAACCTAAGGCTGTTTTCTATTGTCTGGCTCTTGTCAAGAGTTGGGGCTCCTGTGGTTGGAGTGTTAATCTTGATGTGCAGACTTCTTCCTCTGACTCTCCCTGAGATGGGAAACATGGTAACCAGGCTGTCTCCCAAAGCAAAGGCATACCCTGACCTTCAAAAACCTTCTGACCAACAGCCATGGGTGGGAGAATAGGGAGAGAGGCTGGGCAACTCACATACATGTCTCCAGGTCAGATTTCCCTCTCTTCTGAGCACTAGTCTATCCAACTTCTTATTTGCTGTTTTCACTTAGAGAGTTCTTGTGCATCAACAGAAAATTTGATTAAAGATTTACTGAGCATGGCCCTGCCCATCAGAACAAGACCCAGTTTCCCCATCAGTCAGTCTCTCCCATCAGGAAGCTTCCATAAGCCTCTTATTCTCATCCATCAGAGGGCAGACAGAATAAAAACCACAATCACAGAAAACTAATCAAATTGATCACATGGACAACAGCCTTGTCTAAATCAATGAGACTATGAGCCATGCCCTGTAGGGCCACCCAAGACAGATGGGTCATGGTGGAGAATTCTGATAAAGCGTGGTCCACTGGAGAAGGGAATGGCAAACCACTTCAGTATTCTTGCCTTGAGAACCCCATGAACAGCATGAAAAGGCAAAAAAATAGGACAATGAAAGATGAATTCCCCAGGATGGTAGGTGCCCTATATACTACTGGAGAACAGTGGAGAAATAGCTCTAGAGAGAATGAAGAGACGGAGTCAAAGTGTTTAAAAACAACACCCAGTTGTGGATGTAACTGGTGATGGAAGTAAAGTCTGATGTTGTAAAGAACAATATTGCGTAGGAACCTGGAATGTTAGGTCCATGAATCAAGGCAAATTGGAATTGGTCAAATAGGAGATGGCAAGAGTGAACATCAACATTTTAGGAATCAGTGAACTAAAATGGACCAGAATGGGTAAATTTAACTCAGATGACCATTATATCTACTACTGTGGGCAAGAATCCCTTAGAAGAAATGGAGTAGCCCTCACAATTGACAGAAGAGTCTGAAATGCAGTACTTGGATGCAATCTCAAAAACGACAGAGTGATCTCTGTTTGTTTCCAAGGTAAACCATTCACTATCACAGTAATCCAAGTCTGTGCGTGGACCAGTAATGCTAAACAAGCTGAAGTTGAACAGTTTTATGAAAACCTACAAGAGCTTCTAGAACTAACACCCACAAAAGACATCCTTTTCATTATAAGGTACTGGAATGCAAAAGTAGATGCAAGAAATACCTGGAGTAATAGGCAACTTTGGCCACGGAGTACAGAATGAAGCAGGGCAAAGATTAATAGAGTTTTGCCAAGAGAATGCACTGGTCATAGCAAACACGCTCTTCCAACAACACAAGAGAAGACTCTACACATGGACATCATCAGATGATCAATACCTAAATCAGATTGATTATATTCTTTGCAGCCAAAGATGGAGAAGCTCTATACAGTCAGCAAAAACAAGACTGGGAGCTGACTGTGGCTCAGATCATGAACCCCTTATTGCCAAATTCAGACTTAAAGAAAGTAGGGAAAACCTGAAAAACATTCAGGTATGACCTAAATCAAATCCCTTATGATTATACAGTGGAAGTGACAAATAGATTCAAGGGATTAGATCTGATAGATACAGTGCCTGAAGAACTATGGACAGAGGTTCATGACATCATACAGGAGGCAGGGATCAAGACCATTCCCAAGAAAAAGAAGTGCAAAAAGGCAAAATGGCTGTCTGAAGAGGGCTTACAATAGCTGTGAAAAGAAGAGCAGCAAAAGGCAAAGGAGAAAAGGAAAGTTATACCCATCTGAATGCAGAGTTCCAAAGTATAGCAAGGAGAGATAAGAAAGCCTTCCTCATTGATCAATGCAAAGAAATAGAGGAAAACAATAAAATGGGAAATACTAGAGACTAGAAAATTAGAGATATCAAAGGAACATTTCATGCAAAGATGGGCACAATAAAGGACAGAAATGGTATGGACCTAACAGAAGCAGAAGCTATTAAGAAGAGGTGGCAAGAATACACAGAAGAACTATAGAAAGAAGATCTTCATGACCCAGATAATCACAATGGTGTGATCACTCACCTAGAGCCAGACATCCTGGAATGAGAAGTCAAGCGGGCCTTAAGAAGCATCACTACGAACAAAGCTAGTGGAGGTGATGGAATTCCAGTTGAACTACTTCAAATCCTGAAAGATGATGCTGTGAAAGTGCTGCACTCAATATGTCAGCAAATTTGGAAAACTCAGCAGTGGTCACAGGACTGGAAAAGGTCAGTTTTCATTCCAATCGCAAAGAAAAAGACAATGCCAAAGAATGCTCAAACTACTGCACAATTGCACTCATCTCACACACTAGCAAAGTAATGCTTAAAATTCTCCAAGCCAGGCTTCAACAGTACATGAACTGTGAACTTCTAGATGTTCAAGATGGATTTAGAAGAGGCAGAGGAACCAGAGATCAGATAGCCAACATCCACTGGATCATCGAAAAAGCAAGAGAGTTCCAGGAAAACATCTACTTCTGCTTTATTGACTATGCCAAAGCCTTTGACTGTGTGGATTACAACAAACTGTGGAAAATTCTTAAAGAGATGGGAATACCAGACCATCTGACCTGCCTCCTGAGAAATCTGTTTGCAGGTCAAGAAGCAACGGTTAGAACTGGACATGGAACAACAGACTGGTTCCAAATCGGAAAAGGAGTATGTCAAGGCTGTATATTGTCACCCTACTTATTTAACTTATATGCAGAGTACATCATATGAAATACCAGGCTAGATGAAGCACAAAATGGAATCAAGATTGCAGGGAGAAATATCAATAACCTCAGATATACAGATGACACTACCCTTATGCGAGAAAGTGAAGAACTAAAGAGCCTCTTGATGAAAGTGAAAGAGGAGAGTGAAAAAGTTGCCTTGAAACTCAGCATTCAGAAAACTAAGAGCATGGCATCTGGTCCCATCACTTCATGGCAAATAGATGGGGAAACAATGGAAACAGTGAGAAACTTTATGTTTTTAGGCTCCAAAATCACTGCAGATGGTGACTGCAGCCATGAAATTAAAAGATACTTGCTCCTTGAAAGAAAAATTATGACCAATCTAGACAGCATATTAAAAAGCAGAGACGTTACTTTGCTGACAAAGGTCTGCCTAGTCAAAGCTATGGTTTTTCCAGTAGTCATGTATGGATATGAGAGTTGGAATATAAAGAAAACTGAGCACCAAAAAATTGATGCTTTTGAAGTGTGGTGTTGGAGAAGACTCTTGAGAGTCCCTCGGACAGCAAGGAGATCAAACCAGTCAATCCTAAAAGAAATCAGTCCTGAATATTCATTGGAAGGACTGATGCTGAAGCTGAAGCTCCAATACTTTGGCCACCTGATGCGAAGAGCTGACTCACTAGAAAAGATACTGATGCTGGGAAAGACTGAAGGAAGGAGGAGAAGGGGACGGCAGAGGATGAGATGGTTGGATGGCATCACTGACTCGATGGACATGAGTTTGAGTAAGCTCAGGGGGTTGGTGATGGACAGGGAGGCCTGGCGTGCTGCAGTCCATGGGGTCACAAAGAGTGAGACCCAACTGAATGACTGAACTGAAATGAATGGGCATCACATTCTTAATTGTGTCTGCTAACCTGTATTTCCTGTGATCCTTCCTCTCTCAGTAAATGGCACCATAATCTGCATATATTCTTAAGCCAGAAATCTGGGAGTCATCTATTCTTTGTTTTTTGTTTTTTTGTGTGTGTCTACTGTATTGGACATTATAATTCTATTCCAAAATACATTTTGAATTAGTCCACATCTCTCCATCTCTGTTGTCTTCACCTAGTCCAAGCCACCATGATCTCTTGCTCTTACTACATAGCTTCCATTCTTATTCTTAAAAGAAACCATCAGGAACGTAATTTACATGGAGCCTGAGACTCTTGACACTGCCGTTTAGTGGTTTTCTTTTCTACTCCTGGGAAATGAATGGCGTTAAATGGAGAAACTGACTGTTACTCTTAAGGAACTCCAAAGCCTACGTGTTCCTTTACAACCGAACTGAGAGATAGAATGCCTACATGTGTTACACTAAATACCACTTTCCTGAGAAATCATGTTTGTGTGACTTATAAAATTAGACAGAAGCTTGACCTATTTCATCTTAGATATAGCTGTGTTTAACTTTTTTTGAGAAGCTGCCAAGCTTTTCTGAAGCAGCTGAGTGGGTTCTTATATTCTCACCAGCAAAGTGAATGATGTTTCCAATTTCCCCATGTCCTTGTCAACATTAGTTATTGTCTGTCTTTTTCATTATAGTCGTCCTAACATTTGTGAGTTGGTATCGCATTGTAGTTTAGATTTGCATTTCCCAGAAGATTAGTGATACTGAGCATCTCTTCATGCAGTTATTGGAAAATGACCTGTATGTGCAGCTGAGTAGCCTTTTCAGCCTATTTCCTGCCTGTAGAAACTGGAGCGTTCATAGACTTCTTTTCAAAATCCTTCAAGCTGGGCTTAAACAGTATGTGAACTGAGAACTTCCAGACGTACTCGCTGGAAAAAAAGGTGCCAACTGGTTTAGAAAAGGCAGAGGAATTAGAGATCAAATCACCAACATTCCTTGGATCATAGAGAAAGCCAGGGATTTCCAGAAAAAACATCTACCTCTGCTTCATTGACTATGCTAAAGCCTTTGACGGTGTGGATCACAACAAACTGTGGAAAATTCTTAAAGAGACGGGAACACCGGACCTCCTGACCTGCCTCCTGAGAAACCTGTGTGCAGGTCGAGAAGCAGCAGTTAGAACTGGACATGGAACAGCGGGCTGGTCCCACACTGGGAAAGGCTGTTTATTGCCGCCCTGCTTATTTACCTTCTATGCAGAGTACATTATGTGAAATGCCAGGCTGGATAAATCACAAGCTAGAATCAAGATTGCAGCAGAAATATCAACAACCTCAGATATGCAGCTCATACCACTCTAATTGCAGAAAAGAAAGAGGAATAAGAAAACCTCGTGATGAGGGTAAAAGAGGAGAGTGAAAAAATCAACATTGGTTGATTGTTGGTTTAAAAATCAACATTTGAAAAACTAAAATCATGGCAACTGGTCCCATCACTTCATGGTAAATAGAAGAGGAAAAAGTGGAAGCAGTGACAGATTTTGTTTTCTTGGGCTCCAAAATCACTACAGGTGGTGATCGCAGCAATGAAATTAAAAGATGCTTAGTTCTTGATAGGAAAGCTGTGCCAAACCTAGACAGCATATTAAGAAGCAGAGACATCACTTTGCTGACAAAAGTCCATCTAGTTAAAGCTATGGTTTTTCCAGTACTCATGTGTGGATATCAGAGTTGTACCATAAAGAAGGCCAAGTGATAAAGAATTGATTCTTTCAAATTGTGGTGTTGGAGAAGACTCTTGAGAGTCCCTTGGACTGCAAGGAGATCAAACCAGTAAATCTTAAAGGAAATCAGTCCTGGATATTTATTGGAAGGACTGATGCTGAAGCTGAAGCTCCAATACTTTGGCCACCTGATGCGAAGAGCTGACTCATTAGAAAAGACTCTGATGCTGGGAAAGAGTGAAGGCAAAAGAAGGGAGTGGCAGAGGATGAGATGGTTAGATAGCATCACTGACTCAGTGGACATGAATTTGAGCAAACTCCAGGCGATAGTGGAGGACAGAGGAGCCTGGCATGCTACAGTCTTGCAAAGAGTCGGACATGGCTTATGAACAACAGCAACAGCAGACCTCTTTTCATTTTACCTCTCTCTCTTTTTTCAGGTCCAAGTCTGTAACAGCTCTATTAAAAATGTACTGGGATTTTTATATATCAAGTTATAAACCATCCCTTTAGTCAAAAGCTTTACTGCCAAATCTCTTTGAGGCAGGTCTCTTTCCTTTGGTTTGCTAGTTAGGGTGCTATAGGTTAACACCCTTAAGATTGTATAAGTTCTTTTATCTAGTTGTATTGGTATCCAAGGCTCCATATTTCTCAGGCCTTAATAAAGTGTCCTGTAATTGTATCCTTGATTTGGCCTTGATCCTGAGGCTGTAGTTTACTAGCAGCATCCTGGACTTGACTTTTGGACTGAGGCTTTCTCTTCCTTTGAGAATCTTTCACCAGATGGAAAGAGTGGTTTTATTTTCTAACTCACACGAGTTCTGAGCTGGAAGTATTTCCTCTTTATGCTGCTTAAAGTCTAAACAGTTAATTATTTAACTCAGCTCTTTCTTCCCATCCTTTATCATAGGAACTAAAAGAAGCCAATTAACACTTTCAACATTCTGCCTGGAAACCTCCTTAGCCAAATGCACAAATTCATTAGGCATCCTATCTATCTTCCACCAGTTGCTACAAGTGCCAGTGTTGCCAGAAGTTTCACTCCTATGTAAAAAGAATTTTCTCACTGCTCTTCCAACCTCTGTTAACAGTGCCTTTCTAGAATCTACTGGATTCCAAAGCCAGTGTCACACATTTCAGGTTTTTCTTATGCCAGTGCCCCACTTCCAGATAACTATTTCTGCTTGTTTTCTGTTACTGTGCAATAAATTACCTCTAAAACTTGGTGGCTTCAAATAACAATGATTTATTATTTTTCCTGATTTTGTGGTTCTTCTCTTCCATGTGGAATAGGTTGGGGACACTCATGTTGCTGCACTTGGCTGGTTGCTCAGCTGGGCCTGGAAATTTTGAAATGGCCTCACTCACATGTCAGAGAGCTAATGCTGTCTGTCAGACATGAAGCTTTAGTTTTCTTCTATGTGGCTTCTCTCTCTCTATGTGGTTTCTGAGTCTTCAGAATTCTTACCTGAACTTCTTTACATGGTAACTGGCTTTCCAGAGGATGGAAGCAGAAGCTGCCAAACCTTTTAAGAGCTAAGCCTACAACTGAGTTTTCCTTTTGTTGGTCAAAGCAAGTCACAAAACCAACCCAGACTCAAGGGGAAGAGAAAGAGATGAGAGGATAGGAAGAATTGTTGTCAGACATTTTTGAAATTAGTCCACCAAAGCCTGCTAAGTCACACTAAGTGACTAGTGAAGCTTCTTACCCATCCCAGGGATGTGTGCTTCTACATAGTAGCTAAGCTTTGGGTTAAAGAACTGAACCTATAGCATAACGTTTCAAACATAAACAATAAACATCTGTAGTTTCTAATTTCAGGAGTGAGAAGATAAAAGTACTATTTGTGTTCTCAGAAGCTTCAACAAATACTTATTAAGCTGACTTTTGTATACTCACTTTGCTGTATACTGGGAAGAAATTAAATATTAGGACAACAGTTTGAGCATGACCTAAGCAAAGATATTTACCTCCTCACTACCTGTTTGCTCATGAGTAACAAATAAGGGCAACGTGCAAGGCCTGACATAGTACCTGGCACTTAGGTGTTTCTCAGTAAATATTATTTTCTTTCCTCCTTTTTATCTTCCTCAAAAGGATACTGGATATGCCATCTGCTGTAGTCTCTATTAACACTAACATAGATTCTTTTATGGTGACAGGTACTGCTCAAATGATAGAGGCCGATGTCATTCTTCCAAGCAATGGATCAGAACATGGCCAACCAATCATGGCCCATCCTCCAGAAATAAACAGTGATAATACTTTACAAGAATGGCTGGCTGAAGTTATTAAAAGCAATAAAGGCATCAAGCTGGATTTTAAGAGGTATTTGTACAAACATGTTCAGTCTTCTTGTTGTTATAGAATAACAATAAGGGAAAAAAATCAGTAACTTCTTATTTCTGTACCTAAGTAACTTTATACTTTATCTAAACTGAAAATGGAATTGCAAATTAATATGTTTCAGGAATGGACCAAAGACCCACAGAGTTGTCTGCTAAAATTGTTTCTTGGGAACGTTTTGAGGCTAAACTTAATTTTTATAAAGGAATTTATCATAACTGACCATTGTAATAATAGAATGGCAATTTTTTTTTCTATGTGAATAACTCCCAGTACCTTTTTAAAATTTTAATTGGAGGATAATTGCTTTAAAATGTTGTGTTAGTTTCTGCTGTACAATGAAGTGAATAAGTTGTATGTATATATATCATATCCCCTCTCTCTTGAACTTTGCTGCCCCCCACCATCCCACTCTCCTAGGTCATCACAGGGCGCGGAGCTGAGGCTCCCTGTGTTATACAGAAGCTTCCCATTAGCTATCTGTCTTAGACGTAGTAGTGTATATATTTCAGTGTTACTCTCTTAATTTGTTTCACCCTCTCCTTCCCCCGCTATGTCCACAAGTCCATTTGAAAGAAAGAAAGTCAAGTCACTCAGTCGTGTCTGACTCTTTTCGACCCCATGGGCCTTAGCTCGCCAGGCTCCTCCATCCATGGGATTTTCCAAGCAAGAGTACTGGAGTGGGTTGCCATTTCCTTCTCCAGAGAATCTTCCCGACCCAAGGGTTGAACCTAGATCTCCTGCATTATAGGCAGACGCTTTACCGTCTGAGCTACCAGGGAAGTCATAGAACAATACAAGTCCACAAGTCCATAGAACAATACATTTAAAATGCTACTTTCGTTAAGAAGTAGTCTAAGAGAGACTTGGCAGAAGTTGGGTTAGTAATGCCTTTCCTACTTGATTTGTGTTATTATATTTGGGGAATTATTTAGAATTCTTTAATTACTAAAAATAATGTTTTAGAAACATTGATAATGAAGAGAGCAAGATTAAGTATCATTTTCTTCTCCATGGCCATCACAGAAAGTTTTATTTTTGTGGTATTTTGGCAGTGTAAAAATTATAGGTAGAGCCAGGGATTTATTGTGACACCATAAAAGCTCTTCATGAAACCCATGAAGGCAACTGCTATGAGAATCTAATATGTGTGGTAAACTTACATTATCTTTGAACAATATTTTAAAATTGAATCATCTCGAGAAATGAATAAGAATTGGAAATCTTATTCATAGGGTTTTTAAAAACCTAATAAGCATTTAATCATTAATGCTTGGCGAGCAAAACTTTAGATCTCTTTGCCTTTTCATTTGTTGTGGGGCTAAATATACTAGTAAACCTCTTTATACTGTGAATGAAAACTATTGTAAGATCTTAAAGCTTTTAGAATGATAATAGTCCAACTCCATTTTATTGACAAAGGAACTTAGTCCTAAAGAGGTTACGTGACAACAGCTAAACTTGAGAGCTGAGCTAGGATCAGATTCCAGGTTTCCTAGAGCCAGTCCAGTGTTCTCTGTAATGGTGGTTTAGTCACTCAGTTGTGACTGACTCTTTGCAACCCCGTGAACTATAGCCCACCAGGCTCCTCTGTCCATGGAATTCCCCAGGCAAGAATACTGGAGCGGGTTGCCATTTCCTTTTCTAGGGGATCTTCCCAGGGATTGAACCGGCATCTCCTGCATTGCAGGTGGTCTCCTGCATTACAAGTGGATTCTTTGCCTACTAAACCACCAGGGACCATGAAATAAAGTATTTAATCCTTAGTGCTTGGCGAGCAAAGCTTTAGATCTCCTTGCCTTTTCATGTGCTCAGTTTTCTGTTTTTCAATGTTTACCATTGCCCATAGACTTGTTCTCTATGTGATACATTCTCTGACTCCTCACCAGTCAGATCAGCTCATTCATTTCTAAATGCTAGCAGTCACCAGTAAAAGGCTGTGCCATTAGAAAAAGATTTTGCATGTTTTTTGATCATACATATTTGAAGGGTAATGAATTTAATAACAATTGTTTAAATACATACTGTGTGTCAGACACAGTTCTAAGAGTAAGAGCGTGCTCAGTCGCTCAGTTCTGTCCTATTCTTTGTGACCCTAGGGACTATAGTCTGCCAGGCTCCTCTGTCCATGGGATTTTTCCAGGCGAGAACACTGGAGTGGTTGACATTTCCTCCTCCATGGTCTAAGAGCACTGAATGTTAATTCATTTAATCTTTATAACAATCCTAAGAAGTAGGTTCTTCCTATTCTCATATTCCAGATGAAGGAACAAAGGAATGTATAGATTAATTGGGAGAGAATTGTTATTTTGCAGTATTTACACATTGAGTCTTCCAGGCTAGGAATATAGTATATTATTCTTTGTAGTAAACATTGTATTTTGCTGTTGGGCAAAAGTTTATCCTCAGTCTTTTTTTTTTTTCTCCCCAAATATGGCATTTCCTCCGCATTTACTCTTCCAGAAGAATTTTGTAATTATTTTGTAAAGTTCCAGAAATTAAAACTAATTCTTTCCTAAGTAAGATTTTGTGTTTTCCTTAATATAGGTTTTTTTTTTTTAAATTGAAGTTTCTGGAAGGGGAAAGTGGTGGTACTATAGTCTGTTGCATTAGTGATAATTAAAACCTTTACATGTATAAGAATATGTATATTAAAATCTTACTTCATTATGTTCTGTGTCGTAGCTCTTTATGTCTAACTGTGCAGTGCTTTGCACATGGTAGACACCTAATATATGCTGTTGCAATGTCAGTTTGGTGGAGAATGTGCTGAGACTAGATATTATCAGATGGCGAGCCATCGTTAAACAGCCTGATGTCAGTTTACTAAATTGAGAAAGGCTAAGAAGCTTCCTGTTGAATATAAACGGGAAGTTAGTGATTAACCCAACTCCACAGACACCGGATTTCTTAAGAAAGCAGAATCATTTCTAGAAAAGGAGAGGAGGTCAGCTGTAAGACATGTGTGGATTAGTTTAAGATTTCCTCCTATTCCACTTTTGAAGAGCAGAACCCCACCGGCACTTAGCTGCTGCTGTGGGACTTGCAGACAAGCAAGCTTTGGAGTAATAGGTACAAGTTGCTTAAGTACCTTGTAATAGGTACAGGTAATAGGTAAGCAAGCTTTGGAGTAATAGTACAAGTTGCTTAAGTATCTTGTAATAGGTACAAGGTACTAAAAATGAGGGAATTTTGTAGGAAGTACAGTTGGCCAGATCTCAGGTTTTTAACACAGCGTTGATACCATTCAAGGCAGAAAGCATTTGAGACAGAGAAATGACAACATCTATATTAGAATATATTAGAATCTGTTAATGTCCTGCATTAGAGTTTATTAATCCACTATAATCTAGGGCCTGCATTTCAGGGGAATAAGAATGAAGGGAAAAAGCAGCTTATTACATGGGAGCAGAGTTAAAGAGAGGCTGATTTCCTCTGGTTTTAGTGGACAGTATCTTTGCTCACTAATAAATATGATCCTATGAGGCGGAAGAGATCAAGAAGAGATGGAAAGAATACACAGAAGAACTGTACAAAAAAAGATCTTAATGACCCGGCTAATGATGATAGTGTAGTCTTTCACTCAGAGCCGAACATTGTGGAATATAAAATCAAGTGGGCCTTAGGAAGTGTGCTGCCAATAAGTCAGTGGAGATGATGGAATCCCAGCAGATGGAATCCCAGTAGAGCTATTTAAAATCCTAAAAGATGATGCTATGAAAGTGCTGCACTCAATATGTCAGCAAATTTGGAAAACTCAGCAGTGGCCACAGGACTGGAAAAGGTCAGTCTTCATCCCAATTCCAAAGAAGGGTAGTACTAAGGAATGGTCAAACCACCAGACGGTTGCACTCATCTCCCATGCTAGTAAGGTTATGCTCAAAATCCTCCAAGCTAGGCTTCAGCATTACACGAACTGAGAGCTTCCAGATGTCCAAACTGGGTTTAGAAAAGACATAGGAGCCAGAGATCAAATTGTCAACATTTGCTGGATCACAGGAAAAGCAAGGGAATTCCAGAAGAATATCTATCTCTGTTTCATTGACTATGCTAAAGTCTTTGACTGTGTGTATCATAACAAACTGTGAAAAACTCTTAGGGAGGTGGGAATACCAGACCATCTTACTTGTCTCTTGGGAAACCTGTATGTGGGTCAAGAAGCAACAGTTAGAACCCTGTATGGAACAACTGAGTGGTTCGGGATTGAGAAAAGAGTACGAAAAGGCTGTTTATTGTCTCCCTGTTTGTTTAACTTATGCACAGAGCACATCATGCACAATGCCAGGCTGGATGAGTTACAAGCTGGAATCAAGATTGTTGGGAGAAATATAAACAACTTCAGATATGCTGATGATACCACTCTCACGGCAGAAAGTGAAGAGGAATTCTTAAAGAGTCTCCTGATGAAGGAGGAGAGTGAAAAGGCCAACTTAAAACTAAATATTAAAAAACAAGGATCCTGGCATCTGGTCCTTTCACTTCATGGCAAATGGAAGGGAAAAGGTGGAAGCAATAACAGAGTTTTTCTTCTTGGGCTCTAAAATCACTGTGGATGATAACTGCAGCCATGAAATTAGAAGATGATTGCTTTTTGGCAGGAAAGCTATGACAAACCTAAAACTGTGTTAAAAAGCAAAGACGAAAAAGAAAGCAAAAACATCATTTTGCTGACAAAGATCCATATAGTCAAGGCTATGATCTTTCTAGTAGTCATGTATGGATTTGAGAGCTGAACTATAAAGAAGGCACAGTGGCAAAGAATTGATGCTTTCTAACTGTGGTGCTGGAGAAGACTCTTAAGAATCCCTTGGAAAACAAGGAGCTCAAACCAGTCGATTTTAAAGGAAATCAACCCTGAATACTCTTTGGAAGAACTGATGCTGAAGCTGAAGCTCCAATACTCTGGTCATCTAATGTGAACAGCTGGCTCAGTGGAAAAGACCCTGACTCTGGGAGAGACTGAAAAGGCAGGAAAAGAGGGCAACAGAGGATGAGATGGTTGGACAGTATCACTGATGCAGTCGACATGAACCTGGGCAAACTCCTGGGCGTGGTGAGGGATAGGGAAGCCTGCTGTGCTGCAGTCCATTGGGGTTGCAAAGCGTCAGATGTGACTGGCAACTGAACAACACGAACAACAATGATGACGTCATCCGTTTCTGCTCATAAAGTAGGAAGCCCAAAAGGAGTGAGGGAAGAGTGGTGGAAGCATAGGCAGAAGGACTTCAGTCCATTAAGAAGAAAAGTTGAAGACTGAAAAGGGCTGCTGCATACTCTCCCTCCCAATATCCATCTCCCAGATTCTTAGTCCCTCCAATCACTGTGTTCATTAAAAGCTAATTTTCTGAGAAATATGCATAGGCCTCAAAGATTCAGAAGCGATTCAAGATTGTATTTAGTGTAGCTTTCCAATAAAGTTTGTGTTTATATTTTTTAAAAGTAAAAATTATATTGACTGTTCAGAGTCTTATTATTTCAAAATGCATTTGTCCAAAAAGACATAGGGAAGTAAAAGGAGTGAAGTTGCTTTTTAGTTTAAAAGTAACTAAAATATAGTTGTCTCGAGTTTTCAGAAAAGATGTTCACAGTAGAGGAGAAAAATGAAGTTTACAAAAGCTTTAAGGAAATGGTTTAATTTTACATTTTGTAGTCATTTTTAGAAATGTGTTTGTGTGTCCAGACTCACACAAGAAACATAAAGGGAAAGAGGCTCTTTTCCCCCAAGGTCATTAGCCAATGTTAGAGACATGGTGTCTGAGTGCACTTTGGGTATTTTCATAAACTGGAATTTGCAGGTTATGAGTATGTTTAATTTTCAATCCTAATTATACATTCTTTGATGAGTGAATGTTTGTGTCTTTTCTTAAATTGTTTTTAGACTGAGTGATCATAATACAAGGTTTTGAAACATCTCTCTATGTACAGGTAGTGGCATTATTCATACATTTATAGAAACTTTTAAGTACCTTCATGAATAATAAATATAAATCAGTATTTTAAGATATGACACATGTTAACTTTCCCCTCTAGTGATATCTAATCTTTAACTTTATTTAATTCAAGCATTATAATATTATATTTTTATTATGAATTTGAGAATGTTAAAGCCACTAGTCTAAAAGAACTTTTTACTTTTAATTTAGGAATGTATCTCACTGACAACAAATTGTCTTTAGTTTGGCAGCTGTAGAACCATCCATGATGCTCTTGGAAAATGTCAAGAGGCATCTGAAGCGTCCAGTGTGGATTAATGCTGATGTTCTTCCTGGTCCAAATGGAAATAGCAGAGCAGTGGATGCAAAACCTTTTATAGACACTGTGACATCCTTCTTTCCAGATGTGACATTTTCCCTGGGTTGGACAACAGGATGGCACCCTGAGAAAGTCAATGAAGGTGATAATTTAAAATATGTGTTCCCTTTTGGTCAAAGTAACATATATTCAGATATAAAAATAATAACCTTTAATACAAAACCAAAACCATGTTCTATAAATCCAAGAGCCTAATGGAGAGAAAGATCTGGCCCTAAAGATGTGTGTGTGACTCTTCCTTCCGTTATTTCAGACAGATCTCGTTCACTGGTGATATTTTGTCACCAGGCTCCCATAGAAAATATTCATTTGCAAGGTCTAGAATGACCAAAGCTGCCTCTTTACGGACTTCAAGCAAATTCTGAGTTGGTCTCTTTGTGCTTGTGGAGCATTCTGTACTCTTTTTTTTTTCTTTTACTTTGAAGCAAACTCTGTATGTTGGATGAAAGATAAAGAAGTGGGAATAAAATCTTTTTAAGTGATGTAAGGCCAGAAGTAGGGGATGTGTGGTTGAAGAGCACGGATTCTGTTCCCTTGATATTAGAAGGTCCTCGAAATGTAGACTGCTAGAAAGGAAGCTTGGTGCCCTCATGCTCTCTGAGGGCGCGGGAGGCCACGAGACTTTCCTCTCGGGGAAGTTTCTTCTTCTTTCTCTTCATGTACTCTTTTCAGTGGATCTGATATTCAGCTTATTTTCCCTGAATGAAACTTATTACACTATTTGGATTCATCTTTTCCTTCATACATCCCTATTTAGTGATTGTCCAGTAAAATCACTAATTAGGGATCCTCAATCAGGGATCCAGTAAAATCAGATGCTCTGGGACACCTGAACACATGGTGAAAATAATTAACCAAGAAGATATTTAAAGTTTATGGAAATGTTAGCCTTTATTTTGTGTTTAGGGCATTTTAAAATTTACTTATTTGTTATTACTGTCTTTAGATTGTAAAGTTTTAAAATCTAAACATGAGATTAATGTAACTACTATCTGGTGCGTAGTGACATTTAGGTTATAACCCCTGGACTAACAATTGATATAATCGAGAGAAAAATGGTATACTTTAAATCTGTTCTATTTTAATTTTCTAATCATTTTATTAGTGTCAGTAAAGGATTTGGCCTATAATTCAAAGTGTTTAAAGAAGGTAAACTAGCAACGATTTAATAGCTTCCATACTGCTTCGGATCTCTTTTTAGTCACCGTGTAGTCTGGCTCTGACTTTAATCTCAGGCTTGAACTGAATTAAACCATGTCTGGGTCTTTAAATAATGTTGGTGTTGAATGTTTCCAGGCTACTTTTCTCCTGCTGGCCTGTGGTCATTACCACCATGTGTTTTATCTTCCCTTACTTCTTATGCTACAAATTTTAGGAAAGAGAGTTTATATATTTGTAGTAATGTAAGTAGTAGCTTATGTTAGCAACCCCTTTTTCTAAAGATACCATTTTCTAGATTTTAAAGGAAAGCAGACCTATCCCTTCTTTCATGAGGAATTTAGCTGCTATAGGATTTTTGTAAATTGTTCCTTTACAGACCAATACTTTTTCAACCTACTTTTGATAGAATTTAAGGGTTATTTTTTAAATATACATTTTTTTTCTGAAGCTGTTTATAAATAGGCAAATATATTTTCTACAATGTCTAAACTTGATTTAAAACACAAAACACATATATAAAAGCCAATTTAAAGACTATTTCTATTTTAGATAAAATGTGTAAGTAATTTGGACTAGTCTCCACATTTTAAAGAAAATTGAAGTTAATTATTACTTAAATAGCTTGTAAGTACCTAGCAACCATCTTTTTCCTGGAAAAGAAAGCTTAACACAAGTGGAAAATCTAAGTTTATAGAGTATATTAATGATGCAGAGCCTTAGAATTTTATATATATATATATATATATATATATATATATATATATATAGTGCCAACATTTCCTTTTTTGTACTTGATAGATTAATCAATCAATTCTTTTCTAAGATTTCAATTTTTTTGTTTGATTTGCTCTCATTCATTTGTGACATTACTTTAGATGTAATTTTTTTATCTGCGTCCCACTCAAAATATTTTCCTGCATTAAGTGGTATTCTACTTTATCTGAATCCAAATGGAAAGTTTTATGAATACCTATGAATTTACATATTCATATATAATTTAATTTTTACCCTTCCCTGATGGCTCAGATGGTAAAGCGTCTGCCTGCAATGCAGGAGACCCGGGTTTGATCCTTGCGTCAGGAAGATCCCTTGGAGAAGGAAATGGCAACCCACTCCAGTATTCTTGCCTGGAAAATCCCATGGTCAGAGGAGCTGATAGGTTACAGTCCATGGACTTTCTCTAAATCCAAATGGAAATTTTAATGAATTACCTATGAATTTACATATTCATATATAATTTAATTTTTACTTAATTGACTTTTCAGGATTCTGGTGAGAAAAGTTAAATTTCTTTCTTTTCATTTCAGGTTACAGTTGGACAATGGTGAAAGAAATGGAATATATATGTAATGAACTAAATCAGCCTGTAACATTTCCTGTCAGAGCAGCATTAGTCAGGCAGTCTTGTTCTCAGTTACTTTGGCTGTTGAAGCAATCAAACAGGTATGTGTAAGCTTAACAGGGTAGTGTGTACATGTGAGTGTGTGTGAAAGATAGAAAGATGAAAACTGCTAATACAGACAGTGTGTGTGAGAGAAAGAGACAGAAAATGGACACTGATTCTGTCAGTGCTCAGACTTCCTCACTGGAATGAAGTTCCTTGATGAATCTTAATATCAGGTCTTTCACCTCTATTCCACACAAAACCTTTTGCACATAATAGGTACCCAGTAAATGTCTGTCATTTTTTTCAATATGCTAAACATTAACAAAAAATTATAAATGGATACAATAGTTTCCCTTTGAATTCTGTCATAATCCCAACTCTTTTCCATATAAAAATTTTGTTATTTTAAAAATTAATTGTTTTGGCTGTGCAGCTTGTGAGATCTTAGTTCCCTAACCAGAAATTGAATTTGTACCCTTGGCAGTGAAAGTACCAAGTCCTAATCACTGGACTGCCAAGGAATTCCCCATATTTTATTATTTTAGCATGTCGTAAAAATTTGTTGGACCATGTATGAAATATTATAAAGCTACAGAGAGTAAAACAGTTTTGATACTATGATTTTTAATAGGTTAGTCAATAGGACAGCAGGGAAAGCCTAGAAATAAACTCAGCCCTATCATGAAACTTAGGATAGGAAAAGGCTGGTATTTCAGATCATTGGTGCAAAAGTTCAATAACTTGTATTGGGACAGGCAACACTGTAGGAAAAGCAAAGTAAATGACCTTCCTTAATCTTCCTCCAAAATAAATTCCAGATGAATTAAAGACTTGAACGCCAAACAATAAATGCATAAAGAAAACACAATTGATGATTTTTTTTTTTTTTTGTATGTATGGTTTCAGAATGGAGAAGACACTTCTTGGTAAGGCACAAAACCCAGAAGCAATAAAAGGAAAGTTTGATACATTTGAATACATAGAAATGAAAAGATTCTGGTAAAACTGCCCTCAACACATATGTTACATAGTTGTAAACAATTCTAACAAACAAATAATTATCACAAATCATCCAGAGAAAGACCCAGTTTGATAATTCACTGTACTTTAGAGAGTAAGGGAAGCATATACTCAAATATTAGAGAAATATCCATATTCCTGTGGGTATTGAGTTTTTACTAAATGCTTTTTCAGTTTTTATGAAAATAACCATATTTTCTCACATTATATATTAATAAAATTATATTAGCATTTTATATATTGAATCATCCACACATTTACAGAATAAATCCCTCTTGATTGAGATTTATCATTCTTTTAAAGTCTGCTGAATTTTATTGCTAATATTTTAGTTAGAATTTCAGCATTTTAAAGTGAGATTGGTCTGTAGTTTTTTCTTTCTCAGTTTTGAGTATCTATATCATGGACATTTCATTAAAAAAAAACTAAGGACCTTTCTTTCTTTTTATATTTCCTAGGATGTTAAAAATAACATTCAAATAGCCTGTACATGAGTTTGAATAAATTCAGCATTGAAACCAACCTGGTGCTTAGTGTTAGAGGCTCAGTCGTGTCTGACTCTTTGTTGACCCCATGGACAGTAGCCCACCAGGCTCCTCAGTCCATGAAATTCTCCAGGCAGGAATACTGGAGAGGGTTGCCATTCCCTTCTTCCTCAGTTTTTCCTTTCCTCTCATACACGCAACAGTCCTAAAGACTTCAGGCCCTTTATTATGAAAAATATCCTCAGTCTCAATCAGTTCAATATTTCCTTATACTAGATCTCAGGTCTTGCATTCTTGGCAAGCTAATCACATACTTGTCCCAATTCCCAAATCAGTTACTTCTTCAAGGATCCCTTCTTGAGTATAGTGGCAGGTGGTATTTAGAAAGCAAAATCTGGGATTTTAGTATAATCATTGCTCCGAGAGTGTCAGTGTTTCCAGGACTGTTAAGGATGGGAAAGAATCCTTAAGCAAGACACAAAAATCGTTAGCCATATAGGATATTTTGAGTAATTTGAACACATTAAAATTTGGAAATTCTTTCCATCAAAAAACACCATGAAGAATATGAACAGGTTAGGCAGAGTTGGGGAAGATTTTTGTATATCAAAAGGTCTCTAATCAGAATTTATAATGATTTCTGTATTCTATTATGTGTACATCAGAGTTCATCTATTATTGAATGATATTTGGATTATTTCATGGTTTTGTCTATCACAAAAATTGGTGTTGTGAACATATATAATGTGGGCACACACATACATCCTGGTGCAAATGTGCCTAAAGATTATATCAGGAAGGAATTTCTAGAAATAGAATTTCTAGGTCATAGGGTGTTCATATTTTCAATTTTAGTGAATACTGCTAAACTATTTTCCAAAGAAAATGAATAAACTGTGGCTACATGTTTCAACTTGAATACATTTCACAAAAAATATTCAGCAAAAGAAGCAATGCCAAAAATATTACATCCCATATGATTCCACTTATATAAAATTTATCAACAGGCAAAAATTAAACTGTATTGTTTAGGATGGATATACAGGTGGTAAATAAAGCATGAAGATGGCAACTGAAAAGTCTAAGTTGTGAGAACTCCGGGGGAGAGGTGAGGCTATGATGGGGCTCTGATATACAGGTGTCTCCTAAGGTGCTGGCAAATTTCTTTTCTTGGTTTGTGTTGTGTTACACTGGATTTCATTTTATAATAATTTGTCAAAATTTACATTTATGTTTTATGCATCTTTTCCTATATGTTATTTCACAGTAGAAAGAGCTTTAAAAATGAAACCTGAGAGGTGATTTGAATGAATGCAATTTAAAATACCCTTAGGCAATTTTATTTTTCCTATTTTAGTTTGTATACCATAGTGGGAAGATTAAAAGAGGCAAAATAACACTGGAAAGCTCTTCTTTTAACCTAAATTCATCTGTTTTTTTATAAGGTTTGTCTCCATGGTGCTTGAATAAAGTATTAAAAATGCCATTTTTGCAAAACTGTGTTTTTAGAGTAATTCTTATTTTTTTCCTGTGTTCCCCACTGTAGTTTAAAATTCTTTTGGGTTTGTCACATAATAATATTATGGAGCAAAATCCGAAGTACTTTCCTTTGTTACATTTCCAGAATGGCGTTATCATCCTTAAGGACAGTAATGTGTCAGTATAAAATAAGAATATATATATTGGTCAGACTGTTTTCCCATCTTTAGTAGAACAACTGCTTTGGAGATTTTCCCCTGGATTCTGACATGTTTATGAGGAAAACAAATATGAAATTACTTAAGAGATTTGCATTTCTCTAAATTCTAATAAGAACAGTGTAATACTAATGTCACCGGAAGAAATGAAAATACATGATTTAAGTAGCATTTTAATTTCTGAGCATATTCTTGCATCCATAATCAATCTGCATATATTATTATTGTTTTTTGACTACAGAAATAGATCTAGGTTTATTCTGTTTGACATTCTTATATCTCATACAGAACCCCCAGAAGGGATAGCAGGGCCACTTAGAAGTGAAGATGAATGCTGGGAATGTCAGTGACAGTTGTCTCTCTTCACTGTCCCTTCCAGTCGCGCTTTTGACTCTGGCCTGGCTGCTGAAGAAACCAGGTCAGAGCTGTGGTTTTGTGTAGGAACAGATTCCTTGATCAACAGCGCAATCTCTGCTCTTTTGTCCAAAGTTGGGCCTGTTTACAGTGCTAACCATTCTAGGTTTCTAAAGTCATTAATTCATATATGAGGGTTACCTAATTTAGGCAATAGTGATGTGAATTTTATTCTCTCTAGTCCCTTTGATGTTGATGAAGGAATGAAACAGGAAAATACAGTTCCACCAGTGCTAATTAATTTTTCTTCTATGTGAATTTGGGTTAGAGACAAATGAGAGTGACTGTTTAGGCTTGTTGGAATTCTTCATCACTGTTTCTTATATTTCTCTGTTAACTATATAATTCTGTTTTGTTTTGATGCAGGTACAGCCTGACCATTTGGACTGGAAAAAATGATAGCTATTCCATTGAAGATTTACTTTTTATTAGAGATCATTTTGACAAAAAACGAGTTTTCTATGACATCTTGGAACCACAAAACCATGAATTTAAACAAGCCATTGGAATCAAAATTAATCTCTAAGATGAAAATTCTGCTAAATTATTTCATGTTTTGCTTTTGCAATCCTTCTTTGTCTGATCTGAATTAATTACCATATAAATTATGACGATTGATTTATGTTCCAGTTCATCCAGTCAAAAAATACTTATTGAGCGCTTACTCTGTTAGGCTTATGTCCTTATAATACCGTACATACCTACAAGATTTGGAAAGAAGAGATTTCATTGGGCCTCATATAATAATGATTTAGGAAAATGAATCTTTAAAACCCTTAATAAAAATATTTTGGTATATTGAAAATAATTGAAAAAATCCACGTGTCATACAGATACTAAATTACATGTTGGTGCTAGCATTACAGAGATTCCATAAAAATATGCCATCCTCTTTTCTTTTCCCTGGAGAACTAATTATTTCAGAGACTGCAAAAGAGAAAGAGGGCTTTCAAAACGTTTTTAACTTTCACAGGGTTGAGCAGTTTTATTATAACAAGATCAAGTCTATTTACTGAAAGCAATGAGGATTAAATTAGGATGTATTTAGAATTTCCTTATTGTTCAGAGCATCCTGACAGCCATATATTAATGTGTTGTTTTATATTCTTTGTTTTGATCATAGTAACTTATCTAGAGTGAGCAAAATACTATTGGAGAGCAGAATTTTAATCCTGGTAAGCTGTTATTTGTTTTTCAAGTTTTTCACCCACACCACTTTGTTCCAGGCCCTTGTTCTACTACTAGAATTTTAAAAATTATTTCCTCATGACTTCATTCCTCACATTACTCAAAGAAACCCTGGATAATTCTGTTGGAAAAAAACACAACTTTAAAAACACCTCTTTCTTTATGCCAAATCAAAAATCTCTAGGGGCTTCTTAAATTCAACTTCATTGAATTTTGCTCTTTCAATACCCTTCCTAATATAGTCCCACTCTAAAAGTTAATTCAGTGTCCTCAGCACAGTGCTTTGTTTCAAAAATGCTTACACCATCAGTAATCTCCAGATTTTACTTTAACGATTACTTTTAACTGATACTGTTCAATAATTGTGTCATACATTGTAGTTATGTCTCCTTAGCTAGACTATGAAGTCCTTCATGGTGAGAGAACATTCCTAATTGTCTTTACAGTATCTGGCACAGTCCTGAGCAAGGTATTCAGAAAAACATGTTGCTTTCTTTGATTTATTGAAAAGTAATTTACCAATGAATGTCCTAAGATATGTAATTTGTCTTTTATCAACCATTTCCCCCCAGAGAATAAAATAGTGCTGTGCAGAGAAAAGAGCTTCAGTTTTGAATTCAAATAGACTTCCCTTACAGCCCCACCTCTGTCCCTTGCCAGCCATGGATTTGGGGAAATATTTAACCTCATTGAGTCTTGATTCCTTCATGTATAAAATGGGGGCAGGAGGCAGGGTGGAGGATGAGGATTCCCTTGTAGGGTTGTTGTGAAGATTAAGGGAGATTCTTGCAAAGGAAGCATGTAGCTCGGTGCTCGTCTGGTAGCAAGTGTTCAACAGATAGTCCCTTCTTATTAGACTTACCATGCGATCATAGCCATTGTAGATAGATAGCGGTAAGAGATAGAACGTGAAACATTGTACACATGCCAGTACTTAAAGAAAATGATCATACTCTACTTTAAATTTTAGCTACAGCTGAATATGGTGCTATTGGTCAAACAACACATAAAACTTCACTTTCTATGGTGGTTTGCCAAAAGCAAAAGGTGAAATTTCATAATTATAAAATTATAACAATTGTAGCAAAGAATAACTCTTAAAACCTATGCTAAAAAGTATTGTTTACGTTATAAATGTTCAAAAATGACCATGCTTTGCTTTCACAAAAAGAGTTGAATTTATAAGTGAACTACATTTAAGTTTAAAATAAAATTCATTTGCCCAGATTATTTTCACTATTTATCTGGTCTTCAATAATATTTTTTAAAGTATTAATCTTAACACCAAATACCTTTATATTGAGAAATTTATCAACAGAGTGTTATTTAGATTAAGATTTATAACTATATTTTTAAGTGTTCTCGAGAATAAAAGGACTTTCCAGGTGACTCAGTGGTAAAGAATCCACCTGCCAATTCAGAAGATGCCAGAAATACTGGTTTGATACTTGGATGGGAAAGGTAACCTGGAGGAGAAAATGGCAACCTGCTTCAGCATTCTTACCAAATAAATCCCATGGACAGAGAAGCCTGGCGGGCTACACTCCATGGGGTCGCAAAGAGTCGGACACAATTAAGCACATATAAAATTATATGAGAGAATTATAAAATTTATTCTGTTGAAAAGTAAAATTTAAATGGATTATGGTCCATATGGAAAAAAGGATAACAATCCCTACTTCACACCCTACACAGATAATAATTTGAGTGGGATCTTAGGCCTAAAAGTGAAAGCTAAATCTATAAAGCATTTAGAAGAGAATAAAGGAGAATGTTTTCATGACTTTAGGCAATTATTTCTTTCCTTTTTTAAATTTCAGCTTTATTGAGATAAAGTGACACATAAAATTGTAAGGTATTATTATTAAATATTTGGGAAGAAGTTCACAGACACAAGTAAATGATTTAATATCACCTGTTTTTTTCTCTCCAGATTCTCTGGTTTAATGTATTGATATTAAGATCTCATAGCATCCAAACGCCATTTCTCAAGACTGCAGAGCAATCCTTGCCCTAGAAGATGCTTTCATACAAGATCCAATTGTTCAAAAAATCAGAGCTTTTAAAAGGAGAGTGGCTTATGGCCCTGTAAAAGTGATTTGATTGCTGAGCAACCAGATGCATACTCATTTATCCAGTGGGAAATTGATGCAAGTTATTCAGAACAGGTTGTTCATTTGCTTGTTTGTTGGAGCTAGGGTTTTAGGTTTTTCCTTGTAACTAAAACAACAACAACAACCTAAATACCTAGTGAATATATAGAAAAATGTGATATTTCTCATTTTGAAATTTAAGATGGGAGTCTACCTAGTATGGGCTTACTATCTTACAAGTTCATGAATCAATGCAAGGAATATCGTGTGTTAGAAAGATGAAAATAGTAGTGCTGAAGTACTTTTTAGTCTAGAAAATGAGAGTATAATGAGTTAGTGAAACCGAGAAGAACTGATAACAGGTCTTGAAAGAAGCGGGCTAGAATCCAGGAGCGCTTGGCGGCCTCAGCAACAGGAGTTCAGAGGCCTTGATCCAGAGTCCCACCTCGGCGTCACTCTTCTAGTCCTCACCGTGATTACCTGTCTGTTCCTCGCACATCAGGACTGCCAGGCTTTGGTCCAGAGACCTTAATTTGTCTAGTCACTTGTGTCTGTCATGAGGGAGACATGTAACAGTACTTCAGGGTTCAGTAGGAACTCCGGGATTGTGGGGGGCAGGGGTGGGGGAGGAAAAGGGACACCTAATTGATGTCTGATTTATTGAAGCAGGGCAAATAATTCAGAAATGATTTCTATCTCAAGACTCTTATCGTCTAGTAGGGGGAGCAAAAGTGAAAGCGAAGCCGCTCAGTCGTGTCTGACTCTTTGTGACCCCATGGACTGTAGCCTATGAGGTTCCTCCATCCATGGAGTTTTTCAGGCAAGAGTACTGGACTGGGTTGCCGTTTTCTTCTCCAGGGGATCTCACCGACCCAGGGCTGAACCTGGGTCTCCAGCATTGCAAGCAGGCGATTTTACTGCCTGAGCCACCAGGCAAGCTCGAGCCACAGAGGAAGCCCAGTAGGGGGAGAGACTTGTAAATAGCATGTTGGATATTTGCTGTAGCTCCTGTAATGGAACGGTACTCCAGGTTGTGGCAAGAAACAGCAGTCTGTTCTAATTTGGAGAGAATACTTAAGTTGTGTTAAGTAAGATTCACCATGTAAACAGAGGGAATGGCCTTTCTGACAGAAGCACATGAGCAGAGGAACTCTTAAGGAGGAAAAACTTGTTCAGAAAAGTTTTTGTGGAGGCACTGTATTTCAAAGCTGAACATTTAGGCAGGGGCCAGATTCACTTTTCAAGCTAAGGAGTTTGTTCCTTTTCTCTCAAGCTGTAGGAGGCATCATACCATTTTAAGCAGGGATGCGTTATCAGTTTTGAGTGTTACAAAGGTGATTCCAATGGCATGAGAAGGAGCCTTAGAATTCTTGAAAGGAGATGACGCCTTGAATTACTGCTGCTGCTAAGTCACTTCAGTCGTGTCCAACTCTATGTGATCCCATCCCTGGGATTCTCCAGGCAAGAACACTGGAGTGGGTTGCCATTTCCTTCTCCAATGCATAAAAGTGAAAAGTGAAAGTGAAGTCGCTCAGTCATGTCCGACTCTTCGCGACCCCATGGACTGCAGCCTACCAGGCTCCTCCGTCCATGGGATTTTCCAGGCAAGAGTATTGGAGTGGGGTGCCATTGCCTTCTCTGGCCTTGAATTAAGGTAGTAGCAAAAGGGGATGGGAAGGCTCAAGATATAGAGGAAAGGTTAAGAGGGAAGAACTTTTAAGACTTTGTAAACTAGTTGAATGAGAAGTATGGGGGAGGAGGAAGAATCTAATAATACATATTTTGGGCTCGTGTAACAGAGGGTCAGGAGGAGCCACTGACCCAAACAGGATCAGACAGAGGCTAGATATTGCTGTATTGCTACTTTATACCAATTTGGAAAGAAAAATAAAAACCCCATCTTCCTGCCTCTGAACTCACCTCCCGTCTATGGTCATACCACACAGAACACGCCCAATCTTGTCTGAACTCATCTCCCCTTCTGACTTTAGAAAGAATGCTCTTTAATTCTGTTTTCCCAGGTAGCGCTGGTGGTAAAGAATCCATCTGCCAGTGCACGAGATGCAAGAGTGGAGGGTTCAATCCTCAGGTCAGGAAGATCCCCTGGAGTAGGAAATGGCAACCCACTCCAGTATTCTTGCCTGGAAAATTCCATGGACAGAGCAGCTGGTGGGCTATAGTCCATGGGGCTGTAAAGAGTTGGACTTGACTAAGTTCTTTAATTCTATCAGTTTCTTAGACAACT